TTAAACAGAAACAACTCAGCAGTAGCAAGGATATAATACTGAGACAGAACATACATAAGAGGCTACGTTTCACTATGCAAAATCAGATATATGTGTTACATAATGAGGTAGAATATTATGCAGCCATTAAAAATCCTACTTACACTGCTGACAATTTTCCTTGGCTGTTTCTTGTGGTAAGAGCAAAGTTGTGGATGTCTGTTATGTTCTGATCTATATTTTTAAAATTTGGTACAGAATTTTATAAGTATAGTAACTGTAAATGCTAAAATACATTTTCAAAGAATATCTGATTATTTGCAAAAAAGTGTTTTGATGTGCAAGAGGGAAATAGGCTACATAACTGTATAAGTTTAGCTGAAAACTAAATGGAAAAAGGCCAACATTTTCACAGTGAGCTCTGGCTTGTGACATTGTTTTTCTTTATTTTCTACCTTTGTTTTGTTCTTGTATTTGGTGAAGAGTGGGTATGATTTCAGTGTCTCAATAACGGAAATCTTTGATAAGATGAAAGCAGAACAGCAAAGGAGGAAATCTGGCCGACAGTGTCAGGGCTGCTGTGACGATCTGCAGCTGTAACAAACCATCCCATTGCATCTGGGGCAGGGGAAGCAGTGATTATTCCACAGAAGGATGAACATTCGGTTGTAGCAAACACATCCCAAAATAAGTTCAACTTCCTCCCTCTAGAGCATATCTCAGGACACAGGATTTGAAAGACCTTCCACTTCTTCTCTCTGGGAACTTTGTAGATAGGAATTAAAGAATAAAACAGGGAATATTTTCCACTTTTATTATATTCTATATGGGTAGAACCCTCTCTTTCTTGTTTCTGCTATAGAATTCAACTTCTATAACTCAATAGTAGCTGAATAAATGCTTCCTGACCTTCTGGAACCTGAAAAGTTAGAATAGACAGAGATGCTGGCAGAAAGAGCCAAAATATATGTATATTTCCTTCCAAATACATTTAATTGGAGCCTTTCCATCCAGCATGCTATTTCATCTAATTCAAAAGCAGTACAGTCTGAACCATGGTAATGGAGCCTCATTAAGTCCCATTAGCTGCAGTCCCATCCCATGGATACAATGGAAACCAGCGTGTATTCACGGCAACAGGTAGCCCACCACAATAGGAACCTGTGAGATAAATAACCCGCTCACCTCACACCGGCTCCTCTTGCTTTTACAGGCACTTATTTTCTAAAGCACAATGTCCTGTGAAGCCTATTTTAATTATATTCCTAGACCACCAGCTACATTAACTTAATCCAAGCTGTCAGTCATCTGGACACATAAATTCTTATCATTTCAGTTTCCTCTGTGTAAAGTCTTGGGAATGCAGGAAAGATGAGAAAGGTAACTATTTTCTTGTGGGCTTTGGAAAAGACACTTTAAAATGAGATAATAGCAAGTATAATTATAATCCTCGTGATAATCATAATATCCACTACACGCCTTTTTTTGTAGAAGTTCCTCACACCCTATTTTATTTAACCCCCACCACAGCCCTATCAGGAAGACATGACTAATGTCCCTTTAACAGACATGAGGCTGGGCATCCAGTCCAGACACTCTGAGTCCACTGTCAGCAGCATCCAGCCTCCACCCTGTCTAAACTTCTCGGCAACTCACTGGGGGTCTGAACGAGGTTCTTTGGGTGTCCCAGAGTCCCTGGAAATAACAAATGAGCTACACCAAGGAATCTCATGCCGAGAGCTGTTCACAAAGGTTCCTCAAAAAAGCTTTAGAGTCAGGGAGTGATGGGGCCTGTCCAAGTTATAGCTCTTTAGGGTTGAGTCACAGCACAAATTAGGTGAGCATTTTTAAACTTTTTAGAAACCACAGCATTTCCCAAACATGCTTTATATATTTTTTTTTCTTTTTTTTTTTTTTTTTAATTCCTAAAAGCATCTAACTCCACAAAACACAGACAGAAGAAAGCTGGTTGCAAAACTGAGGTCAAAACAGAAGCTACATGAACCAAATTATACCTTTCCTCCTAAAATAAATTAAAAAGCTCATATTCCAAATAAGGGATGTGAAACCACAAGCCGCCTTAATGTTTTCTTTCTGTCCACTCACAGGACTTACTCAATTCTAGACAGTGGCAAGGGGTGTCTTCTGCAGAGGCAGGCAAACATGCAAGTCCCCTCCTGATCCCCTTCACCCCTCTCCAAACTACTGCTTGGTCACTTCAGAAAATGTCCCTTCCTTCCACACCTCAGTATGAGCTGCCAGCAAAGACCTCACCAAGGGCAACTGTAAAATCGGTGCCACAGAAACAACTCTATCAAGAGGGGAAATGGAGGCTCTTTGAAGTTAAATTAGGGTTTCATAGCTAAATTCAAAACCCCTTGGAAGTATCCATACTTTTTACAAGCCATATACTCATCTAACTTCTAATCTTCTCCTCAAATCCCAAGGAAAGAATACAAGAGAAATACAATGGTATATGATTAATGCTCTTAGGATTTTATTATGATCATCAAGTTACTTGTTTGTAAATGCCTGTTTCACACTTGTTCACTCAACATTCCTCAGTTTATGATACACCTTCTCCTAGCTCTGCTTACACCGTACTTCCCTGCTCAAATCTTCCTAGTCTTTTCTAAGAGCTCTTCTTTCCCTACCCATTTCACAGTTATTGGCAGGGTTGGACCATCACCCTGCTGAATTTCCTCATTCTACTTTATTTCTGCCATACTTTTCGTTCCCTAGTGTAGGCAAATGAGTCTCACAACTGACTCTTCCCAGAGGCAGATGGTCTCCTTGTCCAATTCCAACTTGACCCAGGGCTTCAGATCCATGCATCCAAAACATCCTGGGCCTCTCTAGCTAACTGTGTCAAAAGAATCTCAAGCTCAATAAATCTAGAATTCACTGCTTTTCCTGTACGCCTTTAGTATACTGTACTCTGTATCTTGAAAGTGTTTTTATCCAGTTACCCCTGCTACAGACCCTAGAACCATCCTGGACCCCATCTTTTCCTTGGTTCCATCCAATCCCTAACCCATCTCATCAGCTAAGCTTTCTGGTCCATCCCATTCATTCAATCCTACTGCACTGACCTCGGCCAGGCTTCAGGACTCTTCTATCCTCTGTACCATTCTCTCAAGTGGTCTCCCTGGTCCCCCTTCTGACCTCTCAAACCCACACTGCCACTGAAAGAATCTACTTGGAAGCCAAATCTATCCACAGACAGCTGAGCACCTCAAATCCTTCCTTCACTTTATGGTTTAAAGAACTTTCTATAATTTTGGTTGAGGGGTATAGACCTTATGTTATCTAGCTCTTCCCCTTTTCATAAGGTTTGGAAGGGAATTTAAATTTTAAAAGAAATTATTCTCACATTTTTGCAGGATGTTTTTACATGAAATAGTTATGTCTTCTTGTACCTTCACTATTCATAATACTCTGCCACAAATCCATTCACATCATCTCATCTCATCTTCACAGCAACCTAAAGAAGTGTGTCTATTTTCATGTCTGTTTTATAAACTTCTTTTAAAAATCCAAGGTACAAAGAGGTTCAGTAAATTTTTCCAAGAACATATAGCTAGTAAGCAGCAGAGCAGAACTTTGTCCCAACTCTGTAAACTCCTAATGTGGGTGTGCACATCGTACAAACCTGAGAACCAGGTTGGCCCTCAGGACTGGATGCACCCAGATGGAAGGAGACGGAATGTGTGTTATGGTTTAGATCAAGGATTGACTGGGTATTGGGGACTTTAGAGTGGCGTGTGCTGTTAAGTGTCAGGGCTCCGGTTGGAAGAGGCGGGTCACTGGGGCTCGACCTGGAAAGGTCCATCTCCCTCCCTGGCTCCTCCCTTTTCCCCTGTTTCCTGTTGGCTACGATATGAGCACCTCTCCTCTGCCCAGTCCTTTCCACCATGCCATTCCCGCATCTGAGCCAGCTGACCATGGACTAAAACTTCTGAAACTGTGAGCCAAAAGAAACCTCTGCTCCTGCAAATTGTGTGTATTGGTAATTGTATCTTGGTGATGGGAAAGGGACTAAGAAGTGTGGAGAGAAGGAAGAAGGAAGAGGTGTGGAAGAAAGAAGGGGAAGTTCATTTAGCTATGGGCTAAAGGTATTATTTAAATGAACTACAATTTGTGGATTCACAAATCATTATCTGATATTCATCTTTTCCACAATATTAAATTTGACCCTCAATTCAATAAGCTACATACTGCATATTTACATAAATATGATACCAGCAGAAAAGTAAAGGATTCCACAACTATGACTTATGCCTGTGGTGAGCCATTCAGAAAGTTCTTAGTGTGATTCAACTTTATATAAAATCATTTATAAGGATTTCCACAGATCTATCTGATAATATTTGGACATTAGAAAAAACACATGCACAGTTAGATTTAACAATTTATATTCAGTTTCATGAATGCTCAGAAATGAAGGCACATAGTTAACTTCTGTGCATTTCCTTCTACTTACAAGAGTAATTCTGTGTTTTTTAAAAAAAATACATAATCACATCCTTCCCCATTTGAACACAAGGCTGGGCACCCACAGTCAGTCATATACCCATGATGGCTTTGTTTCCACTCATTCCCCAACGTTCCCCCTTTCTCCAAAGTGGCTTCCCTCTCCTTGAACCTCTGCTACTGCCTCCCTCTCCAGCCTCCCCACCCTGACCCCAGGGGCAGGCCCTCTCCCCCAGGCACGGTTTTACTGCACCCTCCTTCACCCTAGCCTTACTATCTCCTTTCTGTTCCCAGTCCTGAGGGAAAAGCCCATGCCCTCCATCACGCTGGCTGCCCAAAGACTTTTCTGCAAAGCGCCTAGAATTTGATAGTTTCTCAATAAATATGCACTGATTACCTGAATCATACATGCTCAGAAATGCTTCATACTGGAAATCTCAAATGTCTGTGGCTCAAAGTGGATCTTTCTACTCCTTTAGACATTCTAGAGTAGAAGCAAATTTTAGTAGAAGTTTGGGAATTTTTTTAAAGATACGCTTATTTTTTACCTTTCAGATGTCACTCTGACTCGTTCCTCAAAACTATAATTCAGGCTCTCCATCTTCTCCTGGAAGTATTTTTCCACACACTGCTCTTCAAAATCGTGAAGTTTTTTTAGATCCTCTGTACTCAGGTAGAGTTCTATGGAAATAAGTATTATACATACGAAGAATCATTTTTTGCCCTTAATGGGAAGCTGAGGCAGGGTATGCTACAGATCAGATATGCTTTGAGTATTTTCCAAAAGAATTCACAGGCTGGAAGTGTGACCCTCAGTGTGATGGTACAGAGCAGTGGGGCCTTTAGATCAAGGGGCACCGCCCTTGGAAGGGATGAAGGCAGTTCTCATAGGAGCAGGCTGGAGCAAGCCTGACCCTCCTCTCCTCTCACTTCCTGTCTACGTCACCACACCCCCCTTTATCATATTTTCCCCACCCATGCTGTCTGCCATGTTATGAAGCAAACAGAAGATCCTCACCAGAAGCCAACTAGATAGAGCCACCCCATGGTGGACTTTCAGTCTCCTAAACTGTGAGCAAAATACACTTGACCCTTGAACAAGGTGCAGGTCAGAGGTACCAAGGCCCACGCAGTCAAGAATCTGAATTTAACCTTTGATTCCCAAAACGGGAGTTTAGCCTCTTGTTGACCTTCAGAAGCCTTCCAGGTAATATAAACATGTGATTAACTTATATTTTATATGAGATGTGTGTTATATGATGAAAAATGTATGAGAACAATGAGAGATCACCCTTTTTACTTTGATAAGCAATTTACTGGTGAGTTGGACTGTGCATATGATAATCAGCGTCACAAGCATTTTAAGCAGGGACTCACACCACTGGAGCACCCCACAAAGCAGGAGGAGGTGGCCAGGGTATTATCACAGCAGGACAGTACCTACCGCAGTCAACCTTATGCAGCAGCAGCAGTCTAACATTACGCTTACACATCTTCTTACATTTCTCTCAGCTCCAAAGGGCCATGCATGGTCTGTGTTACTTCCAAAAGGAAATGAGTATGGTCTGTGTTTACATAGCTTCTGATATATTTTAAATTTTTCTGATAGTTGTGTGCATATTTTACAGGAGTGAAGGATAAAATTTACTATTAGCTACCTATTTCATGTATTTGTGATACACCTAGGTTTTTGTTAATTTTGTTGTTATTTCTAGGCAATATGGTTGGTCTTTGAGTATTTTCAAATTGTTGCATCTCAAAAAAAAAAAAAAATGTGCAGCCAGGGATTTAGCTCAGGGGCACCATGCCTGCCTCAAAACTGCAAGGTCCTGAGTTTGATCCCCAGTACCAAAACAAAAAAAGGTGCAAATGGACGTGATATAGGAGGTAGGGGTGACAAAGCTAGCTGGGAAAATAAGTGGGACCTGTGGATTACAAGATCCTGGCGTAGCACCAAATAATTCCCAGTATGTGGAACTTCTCCAGGGCTTCCAAGAGATGTTGGTGGCATATAAGCACACAGACACCATCAGGAGCCCACTAGAGTGACTCCTCACGGTAGCCTACTCTGTGCATATTTATTTTTGCTTTTATCCTTTCCACTCTTTGTTTGGCCCAAATTCACTCTGCATTGTCAGGTTTTCCCCTTACCCCTTCACCTCTCACTTTCCAAATAAACTTTTCCATCCTTTTTGGCTTGTCTCATCCAATTCTTTGTTCAAGGCAAGAAGGACCTGGTATACTTCTAGTTGGTGAGCCATTTCTAAAGGAGCTACCCAACAACAGATAGAGTCTCACGGTTCAAACTCTTGGTGGTCAAAGGTCAACTGTAAACCTCTCTTCCTTACAAAGTTTCTAGCCTTTGCCATTTTCGCACCGCAGCACGAGTCCAGTAAGAGGGGTACAGGTAGCTTTTCTGCCTCTTGTATTAAAAATGATAAGCTGTAGCTTGTGTGATAACAGGCTGTTACTCTGTCACACTGTACTCCTGCAGAAGCAAAGTATAGAACAGCTAGAAACATCAATCCAGGTCTCTCCTACTTGTTCCTTGAAAAATGACTCATAGAGAACAGATATTGTCTCTCCAATATTTTCATAGGTTAGAATTTTTTCAAAAATTCACAATATTTATGTGTAAATGGGAAAAGAATCTGATTGTCTTTTTGCTCTCTGCCAACTGCTTTAGCTATTAAAAGGATAATAAATAACCTAGTGATAAAAATCAAGGTTAGAAGAAGGCCACCACTATTGAAATTAATCCAGTAAGTATAAGAAAGTTTTACCTTGTTGCCCTGAGCTCATATTATACTGCACACTTCCATGGGGGAAAAAAACATATTGACTATTACCAGCCAGTCAAGGCCATATACCTTCTCTTTAATTAACTCATGGAAAAATGTATCATTTTGTGATGTTTTGAAGCACCTGCAGTTCTTCCTCAAACTTCAGCATTCAGTCTACCACCGTGGCTGTCACTCTTCTCTAGGGGGTAATACATCATATTTTAAGCCAGTTTCTAATACTTGGAAACTATACAAATAAAATGATTTTGCTAATTAAAAGGATAAAATGGGAAAGCTCTCTTTCATTAATGGTTTCACTTAAATTAGGAGGAAAATGACTACCGCATCTCTCCAGCATTTGCTAAAAGTGCAAATGTTTCATTGTCTCCCAGTAAAGCAAAGGGCAATGAATATTAATTTTGAATTTAAAATTGTAGCTCGAAGAACGTAGTTTCTGGCTGTAAATGTGTTCACAACTCAAGCACACAACGTTTTCTGATGTATACGATGTGGAGGAATTTTTCAGACATTGTAAAGTCCAGTCTCTCCCACTCCCACCCAGCTTGAAGTCTGTTTGCCCCCAAAGAATCGCCTTGAAACTTTACAACTGCCTGCATGAGAGTCTGCTACGGACCCCTGAGAGCAAATTCTGCAAGGAAGATCGGCTCCAGGGCCAGGAGCGGCTTGCAGTATGTGGCTTGTTCCCGTAACTGTCCGCCAGGTGGCACTGCTGCCCTGTTGGTAAAAGTCTCGCACAAAGGCCTGGAAAACGTCATAAACCCAAGTTTTATAGGGAAACATCCCATAAAGCCCAGTTAAAGATGATCCTGGGAACATTTCTTTCGTATAGCACCAGGAAATCTGAGTAAATTCTAGTCAACTCCAGGTTCTCCTAAGTGACTCCTCCCCTTCTATTAGGGTTTCAGCGGTTCCACAGCTCATGTCTAGGTAGGCTCTCTATGAGAAGCCTAAAATTTACAGTGCAATCAAAAGCCTTCAAGTTAACTTTAGCTGTGCTTTGGTTTCCTTATCAAGGCTAAATCTCCTGCGAAGAAATAAAAAAGAAATCTTCAAAGTGACTCAAGGGGGAAAAAAATACCTCACAGAGCTAACTACTGTGCACAAAAGCATATTATACTTTCAGTCACACAGTGTAACACAGTGTAGGGGTGTCCTGGCCCCTAAGAACCCCCCTAAGTGCCTAAGTGTAGGAATAATCCACTATCTCGTACAGTACCTAAAATTGATGGAATCAAGAGTATTTTCTTTTCTTTTCTAATTTTAGAAAAGTAATATAGTACATATATCATAAATAAAGTAAAATACTTGGTTCAGGCCAGGGCAGTTCCCATTTTTTTCAGCAAAATAAACAAATTCCCCACCACAAATGAGGAAAAGGATAAATGGCTTTACATAAGTCTCCTCTTCTGGGCCTCCTCTGGCCAGATGAACGTTTCTCCAGTTTATGAAGAAAATAAATACTCAGTATTCAGAGGTATTTTGGATTTAACAATTTGAATAAAGGATTGTGACTTTATTTCCCCAACTTCCTGTATATGTAGGAATTATTTACAGATGGACCTGGTACCAATTGTGGGGTTGCTTAATAGGAACAACAGAATATCTGTAAAAGCACAATGTACACTGTTTTCTTATGGTAGCGGGCCTGACAAATCATGCAGTCAGGATTTGGCTAACAGGGGCTAAGCTGGAGCACAGAGGTTCAGTACTCAGGCAGCATGTCTGGCAGCCTGGATTTGAGCTCCAGCGTTGTAAAAAGAGCAACAAAATCAAAAAGATTTGGCCAAACAAAATGCACTAAGAAAATGTCAAAATATGGAGATTTACAATTTTAAAAAAGAAAAAAGTGAGAACCCACATCTCCATATTTCTGCAACCTGAGTTGAAAAGATCCTGAAAAGAAGAAATATCCTTTTCAGAACCACCCCTATACTCCAAAACCCAAAGAACCAAGGCCCAGGTTCATCAGTAAGGCAAAGTCCTGCTTCTCTGTCTGCCTTAGACCCCAGGGCAACAACTTTCTATTGAATTCCATCCTCCACAACAGGAAAGTAAGTGCGGGTCAGGCGACTCTGGGAGCAGTGAGCTCCGGGCCGGCAGAGACGCAGTTCTCGGGATGACCGGAAGCCTTTTCACGTTCCAGAGGGGCCTTGTTCCTCCCTGTTCCTTCCTTTCAAAGAATCAATACAGCTTGGAAGGTCAGTGGATTCACTGAGACCCCGTGCGTGCCCGGTGTTGCGTCGTCAGTGAGCTCTCTCGGAGCCGAGCTCCCCGCGTCCTGGACCCTGGCACTCTCTCCCTCCTGCCCCACCCGCGCCCACTTACTCAGTCCCACGTCGCTCTCTTCCGGGTCACGGTCACGCGGAGCCCTGTGGCAGCACAGTCTGCGGATGAGGAGGCCCAGGTGGCTGAGCACGATGAACGGGGGCGGCAGCCAGGGCTTCTTGTGGTAGGTCATGGTGTAGCGATAGCGATTGTATTTCCAAAGCTTATTTGAAATAGACTTCATATCCAGATAAACGTTGCTGTACGTTGTAGAAACACAGGAACAATGTTTTAAGATGGAACCCTGAAATACAGTCTTTATTTTCCAACTTTGCTTTTGTTGTTGTTGTTGGGGTTTTTTGTTGTTGTTTTTTTCTTTTTGTTTTTGTTTTTGAGACAGGGTCTTGCTATGCAGTTCAGGCTGGACTCAAACTCACTGTAGCCTAGGCTGGCTTTGAACTCTCAGCAATCCACCTGTCTCAGCCTCCCGGGTGCTGGGACTACAGGTGTGCGCCACCACACTGCCTGGCTAATTTTCCAACTTTTCTGATGGTTCACCTAACATTACCAGCAGTTAACCAAAAATAAATAAATAAATAACATTCATTGAATTTATAATTCTTCTTCCACCAAACAAAATACACAAATCACCTTTAATTATAAGCTATGCTAATCAGAATAATGAGCAAAGGCAGAAACTACAATGAAAGGTAAGAAAATGGAAACATCTGAAACACTGCCCTCTTGCCCTTGGTAGTATCCACGGATCACCTAAGTAACGTGCTTTCAGTCCATGATCTGTGTAGTCAGAGTAAGCAGCATTACTGTTCCTCCAGCCTTACAAAGGTACACTCTTAGGGTCAAGTGTGAGGTCTGCTAGAATAACTCTATTAAAACACCCAACCAGAAGAGGATTGCTAAGGAAGTGGAAATAGAAAAGAAGAATCAATTCATCCTAAAGTAAATCAAGAAGTAGAGTTTCTAATAGAATTTCTAATTCAATAAAGTTCTAACAGAGTTTCAATAAAATTCTAATAGAGTTTCTCATTCAATAAATTACTTAGATTAACTTTACGCTAAAAGTAAGTTCTTGGTAGGTTATTTTGGATTTTTGCTTAAATTATATGAGAAAGACAGTAAATGTTGATATTATAGGACTCAAGATGGAAATTGTGGTAGGTGGTACAGTTGTGTAAGAAAATGTATCATCCTTAATTACTTAAGCATACAACATATGAGGGAGGACTCAAGGCAACATCTTTTTGAACATTTTGCTTAGATTAACAAAATTGAGTTGCTTCCGGGAAAGATGGGAGCGTAGAACTTGAGTAGGTTACCAAATTTACCAAGTAAACTACAGCCAACCTAAACTTGAGCTATAAAGACAACAAACCAGAGCTATCCTGGAAGAAGTCAGCATGAGATAAGAATAAAGGGGAAGTTTTCTGTACAATGCAGTAAGTAAAGGATCGACACAAAGGTAACTGTCTCAGAACAAGGGTCTCCACGTGGGCCCTGCCCGGGAACTGCTGTATCAGAAACCCGTGGGGGCGGGGGGGGGGGGTCCACAGCAATCTGTGTATCTGCAAGCCCTCCAGGGGATTCTCAGGCACAGTCAAGTCTGAGGGCCACTCAATCACGTCATTCCAAACATGACTGCAGCCTTCTGCCAGCAGGTGGCGACCTTCGCAGTGAATGTCAGGCTCTTTCTAGCTGGGATGGCTCAGTTTGGGTCCCAGTGTGGTCCCCTTCTTCAGTGAGAAGGTGGATCGATGCAAGGATTTCTCAACGTCTCTGGACACCTTCGATTTTTTTAAATTTCCTTTTTATTAGTATATGTTTGCAATACATAATAATTGCACTCATTTTGGGGAACTGGCACGTACACATAGTGCACCCTGATGATTTCACTTCCCTTCCCCTCCCTGCCCTCCCGTCCTTCTCCCTTGCCACACCCACTTCCCATCTCCACAAGGTCTGCCTTCCTGTGTCCTGTCGTCTCTGTTTTATTTTCCTCTTTAAATTGTTTGTATATTGAGTTTCTTATATAAGAGAAACCATGCAATACCTTCCATTTTTGAGAACTAAAACTTTCACACCCTCTCAATTATTGGAAATATCAAAAACTATCTATGATATCTGAACATCAAAAATATTATAGGGTCCTGAGATGGGAGGGCTAAGAGAGATGTTAGCTGACATGATAGACTTATGACAAGGAGGAAGAGATGCTCTTCTCATACCTATGCAAAAACTCAACAACAGGCTTTTTTTAAAGTATCTTGAATTTTTTGTGTCCTCCAGCCCCTGTCTTCTCTACTTTCTTTACTTAGATTCTAAGCATTAATTTTCCCTTTCTTACCTTTCTCTTTTCATTGAGATAATCAGTGAGGACAATACCCTGCGCAGTGGCATAGAAGGGGTTTCTAGAAGGTACCAGCTGTCTCCCATGGCTTCACTCAGTTTCTTTCATCTCCTCTACATGTATTAAACAAATATGCAGCAGACATGTTTGGGATAAATGTATGAGTAAAATAAAGTAGAAAACTACTTGTATCTGTGGAGCTTGTGTTCCAGTAGAGGTTCTGGTTGAGAACAGAAGAGAGGAAATGAAGATGCAAGCAGAGATTAAATTAGGAGGCTGCACAGTGGCCGCAAGTAGTGACAGCGCTCAGCCTGGCAAAGGCAGAGTCAACAGGAGACCCTGGCAGATCAGAGGTAGAGGAAGAGGAGAGGCCAAGAGCTAGGACATCCTAAACTTGAGAAGTGTGTTACACTCCTGACTCCAGAGGCCAGGGGCAGCTGGGTCCATGTGACTAAAGTTTAAGGACAGCTGGGCTAGAGATATATAGCAGAATTTGTCAAGATGTACGTGAAGATGAACAAGGTCACAGGGAAAAAAAGAATAAATAAAGGGAAAGCAATGTTCGAGCCCAAAGACATTGTAATGTGAAAAGGCTGGGGAGGTGAGGATGAGCCATAGGAAGAAGACTGAAGATAAAATGAAAGAAAGAGAAAAGAAAATAGAGAACGAGCTATGCCAGGAGCCAAGGGAAGAAATCATCCCAAGAATTCCGAGGCCAGTATTTGGCTTCATCAACTTAACCTAGCGTGGCTCACTTACTGCTCGACTGCAATTCGAGATCTCCTCTCACGCCACTTTCACCGCGTTCTCTCTCTGATTTCATTGCTTCCCCACAGCATCTCCCCTTCCTACCCAGAGCTTTACGGCCATGCTACAAAACCATCACCATAAGACATGGAACACGCAGAAGCCAAAGGTCACAGGCGCCACATGCACGCGAGTACCTGTCCCCATTTTCATTTAAATTAAATCACCTTTTTTAATTAAAACCACCTACTTGAAGAAAGCAATCAGCAGGTTCACCATGATGATGTACTGCACGAAGAGGTAGACAGCTTGCAGGAATGGGGTAAGAAAGGAACCCGGAGGGCAAGACGGCTGCTCTTCGCAAACTACAAATAAAAGAATTTAGAAGAATGAGAAATGAGGTATATCACAGTCCTATGACCCTCCATAGACATTTAACATACTATCTTTGCGGAATATCAAGAACTTTCTCCAGTTTTAAGATTCAGCAGATGAAAGGATAAAGAAAATGTATTGACATACAATCGAGTTCTACTCTGCCATAAAGAAGGATAAACTTGAGTTATCTGTAGGAAAATAGATGCACCTTGAGACCATAACATTCAGTGAAGTAAATCAGACACACAAGCTGAAATATCACATGGTTTCTCCCGTGTGAGAAACCCTAAGTAAAACTAAAGAGCAAAAGAAAATAGATAATAGGAAGTAGGGAGATAGATTGTTCTCAAAGGAGAAGGGGATCAAAAGATAAGAGGGAGGGGAGAGAGGGAAAGGACAGAGATGAAAAAAGGAATTAGAATGTGTTACATCCAGGTACCAACGGCACACAAAGACTGTAAACATTACATACTGCAAACATGCACCAAAAAAAAGGGCATCAAGACATGGGTGGAGGGAGAAACGGGGGAGAGGGAAGAGGGATGAAAAGGGAATTAAGGGGCTGGGGATTTAGCTCAGTGGTTCTGCTGCCTGCCTCGCAAGCACAAGGTCCTGAGTTTGCTCCCCGGTACCAAAAAAAATATCAAAACCAAAAAGGAATTAAGATGTGATCTGTACATGCGCCAGCTCCACCCAAGGAATGTAAATATTATGCACCACACACATGCACTAATAAACTAAACTAAAAGATTTACTGGGCATGGTGGTAGTCGCCCACAGTCCCAGCACTCGGGACGCTGAGACAGGAGGATCACTGTGAATTCGAGACCAGCCTGAACTACGTAGTGAGACTCTCTCAAGAAAAGAGAATACTCAGATGATTACTTTGCAGATTTTCTTTTTACCGTGAGCAGCTATCCAGATTCAATTTCGGGGCGGGGGGCATTTAGCTTAGTGGCGCCACACCTGCCTTGCAAGTGCAAGGTCCTAAGTTTGATCCCCGGTACCAAGAAAAAAGCAAAAAAAAACAAGATTCAATTTCTGCATGACATGAAAACCCCAGGGTTACCATCTATCTTCGAAGCGTAGACCTCCCCATACATCATCCAGTATGGCTCAAACACAACGTCTCGAGCAAGCGTCCAAGACGGAGGCTCCTGGGGTGAAAGGATGGCTTTGCGCGCCACTCCGAAGCTCAGCAGGACGATGGCCATGATGATCACAATGTAGAACATGTTTGCACTCTGCGAAACAGCACCACACAGCCAGAGTCTCACCACCGACTTGAAATTCAGAACAAATCGAACTCCAGCCACCATCCTAACTAGACTTATCCCTAATAAGACTAACCTGGGTGTGGTGGTGCACGCCTGTAATCTCAACACTCTGGGAGGCTGAAGTCGGAGGATCTCCAGTTCAAGCCTAACCTGGGCAATTTAGCAAGACTCTGTCTCAAAATAAAAGAATGGACCGCAGGGCAAAGGCCCTGGTTTTAACTGTAGTACAGAGGACCAAAAAATAAAGACTGCTAGTCATTTACTAAAATCCCCTAGTACACAGACAGCTTGCTTTTCTTTGGCTAAGCTATTTTGTTTCCTCTTTTTTTCTGCACATATGTGGTTCAAGTCAATGTGATCTTTGAAACCACATAAATTTGCTGAGACTAAAGAATATGCACTTCAGTCTTGAAGCAGTCACAAAATGTGAACAGCTTTTGACTAGCTAACATCCAACTTTTCAACAACTGGACCAGAAATTGGTTTAGGAAAAGAAAATATATATAAAGTGTATTCAGATTAGTCCACTGCCTGCTTATTCCCAGGATTAGCTTCTGGAATTGTTAACTCAGAAACTGATCCGTCCAGTTTCCTTTCACCTATTAAACATTCATCAACCCAACCTATCTGTTCACTGTGGCAGGGACAATATTTGCCAAAATTTTCTGCTGTCTCAACATGTCTTATCTTGCTTCCAGTCACTTGGGACCAAAAACTAAAAGCTATTAGACTTTCTTACCACTCTCATTCCCTGCCATCGGAGACCTCAGAAGCCAAACTGACATGGCTATGCCACAAAATAGAGGGACTCTGCATTCCTGAGTCACTACAGAGTGCCCATTAAACCTTGCTTTAAGGAGAAAGGGCTTGAGGTGTACTAGTCTCTTCAGCATGGTCCGTCTGAGAAATACCAATGTTATCAAGACCACAAAAAGCATTTCCAGTCTAAGAGAAAAGTGCAAAGAAAGAAAAATCTCTCTGGAGTCCTGCAGTCTTCCCATCTCTGCCAACTTCCTCGATTTTCCCACTTCCCCTCCCTCTCCAGAGCTTGCTGCTTCCCTGCACTGAGACTTATAAAAGGCAAAGCCGTGGATGATTTTGAAACTGTGCTTCTAGAGGGTGGGTCTCAGGTACTTGAGAACAGCCAGCTGGTAGCGGCTGACACAGTCCTAGCAAGGGAGGGACAGCCTGGAACACACAGCACAGCAAGCTCAGGGGACAGACTGGAGCCAGCTGACCGTGTTGCGATCTGGGCTTCCCTGCAGGTGCCCTGGAAAATTTATATCATCTCCACCTTTTTGCATGAGAAATGTGGGTGCTGATACCACTTATTTCATAGAGCTGTGACAGATACCAAATGATTAAGACATAGTACTTAGTAAGCCCACAGCCAGCACTACTTGAAATTGTGGTGGGAGAAAGTGAGTGAGTTGACATTTTAGCAAACTAGCGTTGGTTACAGCTTCACACAAATCAAGCCCTGGGTAATTACTGTACTCAGAGACTAATTTGACTCAAATCTGTATTATCTGGCCCTAACCAAAACGGTAAACTGAGTATCTGGATCAGCTGCCCAATATGCTGTCCAAGGATATTTGTTAAATAGGAGTCTGTGGTTATACAGGAAGCGGTGATGAGAAGATCTTGCTGTCTGTACTTTTAGAAATAACTCCAAAAGGTAAGCTGTTAGAAATGAACCATGAAATTAGGTAAAACCACTCCAGAAGAGGACTTGCGTGTAAAACCAGACTGACCTACCATTTTTGCGATCATGGTGACATACGGGCCTGCATGTTGGTTCACAGCGAAGAAGTCCATGAGCCGTGAGAACCAGAAGATGGTGTCAATGCAGTAGATGAGTCTTCCCACTGTGTAAAAAGGAGGGTCACCCCACCGGAGGCAAAAACCAACTGAAAACAGACCAATAGCCACAGCCTCCATTAGGTTCCAGTACTCGCTAATCCACACCTTCACCTTTTGGGTAAAATTCTCAGGTTCTGAAATACAAATCTAAAAAAAGAAAGAGAAACTTACGAGAATGGAGTTCTGATTCGGAGGTCATATGCTTTGCTTATATCGGGCAAAAAAAGAAAAAGAAAGGACATGGTACAGGGCTGGAGGGGGAGCTCAGGATACAGCACTCGCCTGGCATGGACAGGCAAGTCTGGGGTTCGATCCCAAGGGGCTGAGGGAAGAGGACCTAACGACCCAAGAATCCCATCACCATTATCTTCCTGGATACATCACCTACTCCTTTAAAGAGTCATCTAAAACACCACACGGGGAATTGAGACTTAATTGAATTGTTTAACTATATTTAATGCCTTTTAGTTAGCATAATAAAGAATTAAGCCATTAATGCTGGATAGTCACTTGAAAACTCAACTAAAATTTTTTTTAAAAAGAAAAGAACAGTGCTTTTCGTAGTTCTCACTAATCCTAAACTAACACGGAGAAGTACTGAGACATTTAAAACTCAGTACTGGGATGCATCTGCGCAGCTAGTGTATGGTCCCATCTCATGAGGCCCAGCACACTGCAAAGAACACTGGCTGAAACCAAGGACTCCTGTCATCTGCTCTGAGAATGGCTACGTAGTGAGCTGTCGACAGATTACTAAGAATGTGTGGTACCAAGGAAATGCTATATCAGACCAACCTGAACGTAAAACAGTAAACCTATTTTTCCATGAAAATATAAAATAGAGAACTCAGATAATATTGATCTCTTGAATTATTGTCTGCAATCTATAAACTCCATATAGGTAACTAGCAGGCTATATATATATTATATATATACTAAAGACACAGTTACTTGTATATAGTGTTGGTCAGATTTTATATGTCTAGGACAAAATATATGTAAATGCATACACATAAAAATACATATACATTGACATCTAAGAGTCTTGGGTCAAAATTATTTGTGAATGTAGTTATAAAAGCATTAGAATATTAATTTCTAAGAGACTAATTGCAACCTAGAAATTAAAATTTTGTTTCATTTTGTTTCCTGCCCTGCTTGTCCCAGACAGTTGTAGCTTCAATTTCCAGGAAATTTTAAATACCATAAATGCATCCCTTATTTCTTATATAACATTGGCTATTTATGTGCCACTCTGTGAGGTGAAATTGATAATATATAGATAATACTAGGGTATAAAAATCAATCCTACCCCAAAAAAAGAAACCACTTGATGAAAATAAAATAGTAGGACACTTCAATAACCATTAGACACCATCACTACAACTCTAGGACTGATAAACATTCTGAGATGTCTGCTTTAACAGTAACTGCTTCCAAGGTCCAGTGCCCAGCAAAAAGTATTTGGCAAGGATAAAGGGTTGAAATCAGGAATTTCCCCATCACATGCAAATCAGGATTGGTATTTTCTTTCCCTCCCATCCTTGATGTCCATTTTCATCACCAGGGCCAAGAACACTTCTCACTTCCAGAGGGCTGCAGAAGGCAAACGTGGAAGAGAAACTCACCTCCCTGACTCTCTCAATAGCACTGGAGAAGATGTAACAGATAACAAGCCACTCTTGCACGCTGGGTTGGGGCTGCATCTCCACCAACACAGTGTAAGTGAACAGCATGAGGAATGCCAAGTATGCCATCTGTAAGGGGATACATATGCCCTAGACGTGAGTATAGGGAGACACAGAGGGGCCAAGCAGGCACAGGCAGAGCAGCAAAGAAACACAGGCATGAATTTCAACAAGATAACATGAGAATAGCACCAGGACCCACTCCTGATTGGTGATGACCTGGTATCAAAGCAAGCACAAGAATTTACAGTTTCCTGGTCTAGAGATTTGGTGGCAAGAATGAAAATAAGTGTTCTCCGATGCACGGAAGGAGACACTGTCTGACCAGCATCCCCATGGCCTTGTGCATCCCAGCGTGGACAATGGCAGGCTGACAGCAAGCCAAGGAGGAAGCACACACTGCCCAGCTTGAACACACACGTCCTGCATGTCAGTGTGATACACACGGTGCATGTGTATTTCCCAACACAGTGAACTGTGACATTAACTACTGCCAGATGTTTTTTTTACTTTGATTAAAATATTCTGACTAATAGAAATTTTACCCAACCGTAAGCTCTTGTATTTGAGGAATGATTGTGGATAGTTTTATTATCAGCACTCAGTGTGACACATGGTAGACATTCCACAAATGCTTGTTAAACTGCCAACTGTGTATATTATTCCTAGACTCTAATCTGTCCAGAGAATTAAAACACACATATGTACAGAGTGACTAATAGCTTATAATTTTCTCTAATGTTCTTATCTTCTTAAGATATACTCCCTTATATCTAGGCACGCACCCTTAAAACTGAGACAAATATTGCTAAATTATCTGCCAGAAAAGTCTCACCAATTTACAGTCACCGACAAGGTGTGAGCCATGCAGTCTCTAAAGAGCTGCAGAGACGGCGCACAGTGCTCACTGATCTGTACTCACAGTTTGGAACACTGGCCCAGTGGAGAGAATGACATGTGTACATTTTCACAAGAACCATTTCACCCTATTTTCCATGTCCTTTTGAGCTCTAAGAGAGTCTGTATCTGAGTTCTGCACAAAAAACATAAGGAGTGGCTTGTTTGGGTTTCCGAGTAAACTAGAATAACATTTTCAAGTGACATCTGGGGTGGCCACAGCAGGCACTGTTGCCTCTGAGTAATGAACCAGAGGAGAAGCATGTAAGAAAGTTAAGATCGTGTCCATTAATTCTGTCCTCCTCTTGGTCGTGTCCCAGAGTCTGAGTGTTTGTTTGTTTGTTTTCTCGGTGCTCTGATGGAACCCAGGGCCGCATGCACGCTCGCCAAGCTCTCTCCCAGTGAGCTACATCCCCAGCCCACAGAGTCTGAATACTTTTGATGACTTCTTAAGGACATAATTTAAGTAAATCATTTTACCAAGCTGTCATTTGCTTATATTTTTGTCCTTGGTTCCATGGTGGCCAGATAATCAATTCCTTAACTTTTAATAATGACTGTATGACTATGAAAAATTTATAAACAAGACTAGAAATGTACTCAGTAAATAGATGTTCAGCTTGAGAAAGCAGCACAGGCTCCTCTAATTGAGAACAGGTTGGGTTCCTACTAGTTCAGTCCATTTGCTCATTAGTCCAAAGTGATAATGTACATAGCCATAAGCAACCAAAGTATTTACATCTAGGTAAAACAGGCTGCACTGAACAGTCTGTTTGGTAGTATCTTTTTTTATTTGTTTGTTTGTTTGTTTTGGTACAAGGAATTGAACTCAGGACTTTGCGCTTGCCAGGCAGGCACGGCACCATTGAGCTACATCCCCAGCCCTGGAAGTATTGCTTCTGACTCTTTGTTTCTTTCTGATCTTAAAAATTCGATCCAATAATGTTTACATTTTTGCTTTCCTATCACAGCTCCAAATGCCCAGTGTCAGCTGCGCTGACTGCTAGTACTCCCAGGAAGGAGAAAATGCTGTTCTCAAATTCCCAAAGCAGGACAGCTCCACTTTAACTTCCCTCATCGTCCTCCAATACTCTTTCCAATCTACTTCATCATCCTCCCACTAATCTATACAACATTTCTATATTTTTAGCACAGGTTGGCTAACCAAACATATCACTATCAGTATTATCATTAGCTAGGAACTATCATTAACACAGAATGTACTGCTGCGATGAGACCAACCGTGTAGAACCAAAACTTGACAATAGGGGCGCTGTAGAACTCATACACCTTCCTGGTCCAGGGAAGGCTTTGGGGCCCATTCCTTAGATCAAAGTGCTGACTTTCATCCAGTTTCTCATCAGGGCCCCTTTCCAAATCACAGTCTTTCTGTAAAATAAAGAAACATTTTTTTAAGAGTGTAGCTCAGCGGAAGAGCTCTTGCTCTGCTTGTATGAGATCTCAGGTTTGATCCCCAGCAAAAATAAGTGACAATTATGACATTATTATGATAAAGAAATAATCGTTTCTCGTCAGTGGCTTTACTCAACTCTTGACAGATGTAGACATCCAGAACATAATAAATAATTATAAATTATAAATTAATGGGGCACACAGCTTCCAAATTACAGTCTTAACCCTTGAAGGGAGAGAAAACTGCATTATTACATAAAGCTTTCACCAGGTAAGAGCATAGGGTATTTTTGAAATGCAAGTTGAATCTCCACTAATGAAATCAGTCTCTACTCCTGTTTTGATTAATCTCATTTAGTCATAATTTTGAACCCTAAGCATATTCATAAAATCACCATGAAATCAGAAATGGATGACACATTTAATTCCCTTCACACAACACAACAGAATAGACATGCATTGATGAAGCATCTTTTCCAAGTCATAGGACAGTCAGGTACAGTGTTCATTTGAGGGTTCTGGCCTCAATTTATTTAAAGGGTCTTTGCCTGGAGTTCAAGGGCTCCACTGAGCTATCAGAGTTTCTTGAACACCCTACAACCACATCCAAGCATTTGTGTTTTATATGCACTTTTCTAAGGAAAGATTGAACTCTTTCATCAGTTTTTTAAAAATATGTGTGAGCCCAAAGGTAAAGGTTGACCCTTGGGGGTGATGAGCAGTGAGCACCTGTGGCAGAGCAGGGTCACCTGAAAGACCACACATGAATGCCTGCACAGGACAGGCTTTCAAAGGAGAAAAGATGAGAGGGTGAACAAAACCACATACAGCTCGGGTGCCTTTGAAAAGAGGAATATAGAGGACATGAGGCAGGCAAAAAAGAAGAGATGTTATCCTACTTTGTAAAGCTTTAACTTGTGTTAGGAAATGCATTTCCTTTATAATTGTAAAGTAATATTTAAAGAAAAAAATGCTCTGTGCTGTCTCATGCCGGCCCATTTCTTCAGTCTTGCCACAAAAGCTCCAGCTCTAGCGTCAGACCTGCAAGATTAAAGGGGTTTTTCAAGCCAGGGAATGAATCAAATTTTGCTTGAGTTGTTTGTATAGCAACAGAAAAACATAATATTTTGTAGGCTTGGGCATCTGGATGGGTAACCTTTGCTGTCTGATGTGTTGTTCAGTTTACTTTGCCCAGTGTGTTTGAGACAGTGACTCACAGATCTAAGAACTGACCTGGGTCCTAACAGGTTTGAACCACCCCAGGACTAAAGTGGCTGGAAAACAATGAGAAAGTCACCATTTACTGACTCACTGATGTCAATACCACTTCAGAAAGACCCCAGAAATCAATTTAAGTAATGACCTTGTTACCAGATAACTTCTCTTGTTATTTTTTCTACGAGCGCTTCATTAGGTCTCAACTACTCTTCGTACTTTGGAATAGACTATGAAGGATATAAAGTTCTCACTAAGCCTATCTCTGAGTTGAATTAAAAGACAACAGCTGTCATGAAGACCATGTGAGAATATTAATTGTTTTATCCTTAGAAGAAGGTAAAGATAAAGAGATTTTGCTTAGCTAACTTTTATTCTATTTAAACCTCTCCCCCTCCCTCCTCTCCTTCATTTTCGTCTCTCGAACAGTAATGAGACACCAGCAAGTACACAGAATAAAATATAACTACAATGATCGACTGTAATGCTCTGATAGATCTTATTGTTCAACTTAACATTTTTCATTAGGTCTAGCAGCATTTCTAAGAGAAAGCTCATCTCTGCTGTTCCAGATTCCCCTGTCCCTTCAAGGTGGCCCTGTGGTAACCATTAACTTCTCAGTTCCTTGCCTCCTCTCACCTGGATTCCATTTTCAACTCTTCATTTAAAATCTGTTGGTTTTTCCAAGTCTACTGCTACTGAGCCTGGCCAATGCCCTTATTACTTCTCACCTACATGGTTACTGTTGCTTACAACCTCCCGGCCTCCAAGCCACCTTTCTTGCTAACTTATCCTATACTCTGGAGGCAAAATCATTTTCCTACTAGTCAAGACATCCTGCTACACATTTATTGGTTTTCTGGTGAGCCCTTCATAGGACCCACAAAAGTCTTCCTCGGTCTCCTTTTCCAGTCATGCCTGCAAACACTGCTCCCTACTCGGACAAACCACACCGTTTGTGACGCTTCTCCATGCCTCGGTATTTCCTGCCTCTGGGCCCTACTTACAGCTTCCTTCCACTGAAATGCCCTCAAGTCACAGCTCAAACAGCACCTCCAGCTTGAGGTTGTCACAAATCCCTAATCCTCACTACTACTGAAGACAGTCCTGTCTCTCATTCTGCCATCTTCTACATTTGTTCCTGAGACCGCTCAATCTGTATTATGCCATGTTTTTAAAGGTAAGCAGCTAGGAAGATTTAAACTTTCCTTGGCAGTTATTTTGCCTGTAGAAAGTTCAGTGAGGTCAGAAGTTTTAGCTGAGTGGAGTGGTGCATACCTACACCCCCAGCAACTCCCAAGGCTGAGGCAGGAAGATCACTTGTGCCCAGGAGGCCGAGACTTTTCTGAGCAACATAGCAAGGCCCCATCACACAAAAAGGGGGCTTTTATAAAACCTCATAGATCATATGCAGTATATGATTCTATACCGCTTTAGCTCAAAGACAATGGCCTCCCCTATTAACAGAGGTGGCCTCATTATATTTATATTTACTACCAAACACAAAGCACAAAAACACTAATAAAGCATCTGTGTTCTACCTGTCTCCAGTTTTCTCACACAATGCTTACTGCAAATTATGTTACTCAACGAATCAATCCCATTTACTTAATTAGCACTATGAAATTGCACAAATTCACCAAAGTGTTGCCTCTACCACCTCCGACTATGTAGTAAACTTCTAAAAACAAATCGGCTAATCAGTAATTGCTGTTTAAGTTAAATTTAAAGGCTAAAGCCATTCCTAATAGAACAGACTTGAAAAGCTTTTGCAATAAATGTTTTGAACTGAATAATAGTAGGTCTGTGGATATCCTGTCTGACTATAAACCCCACACTGGCAGAGGCCACATCTGCCTTAATTAACAGCAGGGTTCCTCACACATTCCGTCTTTGGTATATGGAAGAAGGCAATTAAATGGTCACTAAATTGATAAATTGATATGGCCACATCCAAACCATTCGGGTGGGAGATTGCTAGAAGAGAACCACTATACAACAGCCACGATGTAATTTTCTCAGGGAATTGTGAGAAGTTAACACATTTTGTAATGTTAAGAGTACACTGAATTGCCATTCAGAGAGGGAATTCTTTCTCTGGGTCTCTTCTTTGAGAAGGATTGCTTAGTGCAATGCTACAGCACTCTACAATGCCCTAAGTGTGTGAAGTTACAGACACAGCAAAGTACTATGTACTGTTCTAAAGTACTGTTTGCTATGGCCTGGAAATAACTACCAATAGTTTATATATTTGCCTGTAAACAGATAATTGATAGATAAACAGCTTTCTTCATTGTTCACTTCAACAACTATACTAAACTCAGTGTGAACAATTAAATAGGCAGAAAGCCACACAGAAATGGCCCAAACTTAGTAAAGCCTTCTTCTAGCTGGTACAGTCACAAATGTGACATTTTAACGGGCCCAGATTTGCAAGAGATGACGTCTGGCACATTCTCCAGAACCCCAATATGGAACGATCAGACAGAAAAAAGGAAAGGAGGGGGAGAGGGAAGGAGGGAAGGAAGGAGAAAGGGGAGGATGCACACCACCCAAACATGAGTGATAATTCAAATGTTTTACCACTGATCTGGCAGAAACATTAACCAATCAGAATGGGTACCCAAAGAATCACCAACAGATGCCAGCCATAAAACACTGTTATGATTAGTTTTCATTAGTATTTACTGAACACGTCTTTAAAGTTTATAACAAATGCCTCATAAATCCAAAAGCACATCAGACAAGATGCTAAAGATGCTTCATTCAAGTATAAGTAGCAGGGAAGATGCCTACCACACCTCACAGGACATGACAATTCTATAAGCCATGATCCAAATGGGGACATACAAAGTCAAGAAAATATTCACAGCATATCAGACACTTTGCAGTGAAGATGGTCTGTCCCAAGAGGTGGCTCAAGTTATCCAGGAAAAAGCACACATCTGAATTCACATCAAACTACACCAAGTCCCTGGGTAATGTGTGAGACTCTAGGCTTTTAGGAATAGGAAGCATTTCTCGTTGTTGCTTTAGAGTAGTAATCTATTTATTCCACACTCACAATGGAAACTAAAACTTTAGACAGCTGTTCATTATAGTAAAGTCTTTGGTTTTTGTCTTTGAAGTAGAAATAGAGTATTTTGCTTACTTATATACTGTGGATAATTAGGCAGAAGAAAACGTAGTGCTTAGTTGATGAGTCAGAGGCATTTTTGAGGAATGTACAACACCATACACATCACTGGATGGAAACAGTGGCACTGGACATTTTTAGATATAGATATAGATCACTATATAAATAAACTTCAGGACTGTGTATGTTTGTGTACAGCCGATACCATGAAAGCTCAATTTACTATCATATTGCACTAACCGTACAAGCATTCTCTTTGGCATTGCTGAGGCTCTGGTCGCTGTAATACCATGTAAACTGGAAATCCTGGGACTGGGGAACATGTGACATCTCAGCTTTGCTTTTAAATTCCAGTGTCAAAATGGTGGGTGGTAAAAGAATACTTATGATGATCTGTCAAAGAAAACAAAATTATGTAGTAGAAAATAGACAAGATGTCTACACTATTTAAATGAGAAAACTAAGAATTTAAGCACATGGTAAAAATATCATAGTCATTCTCCATTGAATTTATATCTTGATTCTATTTATAATTTTTGACCCTCAGGAATACCCATGTGTACAAGCATATGTAGATAAGGATATCCACTGCAAAGTTATTTGCAAAGCAAAAACCTAGTGGTAACCTAACTAGCAGGCATTTAATTTAATTCTAGCACTCAAGTGGCTGAGGTAGAAGGATTGTGAGTTTGAGGCTAGTTTGAGTCACATAAGACCCTGTTTCAAAAAAACAAAAACAAAACAAAACCAAAAGAAAAAACCAGAAAACTGAGTGACAACTTACAACTTAAACATACACCTATACAAGAACAGCTGGTAAGGAACAACCTAACAGTAGAATATAAATGCAATGCTGAATATAATGAAAAGATATCCATACAATATTGTTATAAAAAGTAAACTATAAAATAACATATAGCCAGGCATGGCATACACCTGTAATCCCAGCACTTGGGAGGCTGAGGTAGGGGGATCACCATGAGTTCAAGGCCAGCTTGGACTATATAAGAAAACTCTGTCTCAAAAAACCAAAATTAAATTTTAAATTTTAAAAATATATATAGTAGTCCCGTTTTTGTAAAAAAAAAAAGTTGTTTTTAAATAGATATCCATCTAAAATTTAAAAATGTGTATAGCACAAGTTTTTGTTTTAATAATTTTTAAAGTCATGAAGTAGATATTACCACACAAAACATTGACATTTATTCATGTTATAGGCTTACTAAGATTATAAACCAGGTTTGTGGTACACACCTGTAATCCCAGCACTCTGAGAGGCTGAAGTAGGAGGATTGCAAGTTTGAGCCCAGCCTGTGTAATTTAGCAACACCTTGTCTCAAAATAAAAAATAAAAAACTAGGCTGAGGATATAGCTCAGTGCAAGGGCCCTAGATTCAAGCCTCAGTACCACAAATAAAATAAAATAAAATACTCAAAACTATAAAAGTATCAAGTTAGAACCACCTCCAAGCCTGCATAAATACTTTGCCAGTAAGACCCAAAGAAAGGATAGATCCAGACATCCATGATTTTTTCATTACATTGCTCTCATTTGGAACTTATTAACACTCTTTTCAAAATAATTTTAACACTCAACTTATATGGCCTGTTAAGGTAAATAAGTTAGATTTACCAACTCAGCTTGCTGAACGCTTCCTCTTTCAAGCTAAAATTAAGTCTCAGTATTCTGACATTCAGTAACCCTAAATAAGATTAAACCAGTCACTCATGATTAAATAAACTGAAGTCATATCCTTGTCCATTTTTCATTTGTTTCTTTTTCATGGTGAAATGATCTTCATAGTTTTGTTTCTAGGCTAATCTCCTGCAAAGACTCTCTAGACTTTCCCTAACTCTGACACAGTTTATTTGTTTGTTTGTTTTATTTTTAGATGTAGAACCCAAAATACATATACTTTTCTAGGCCTAGAAAACAATCATAGTTACCACGCTCAATGATAACTTGTAAGGACTGGTTCCTAACCCACTTCCTGAGGACGCCTCGGTTGCCCTATCTGATGCAGAACATTTGGCTTGTGAAATAGTGTTGACAGATATCAATAATACAATGTCCATTTCCAAAAGATAGGTTGGAGTCTACACACTAAACGCATTTAACTAAGTTTTGCCTCCACATAATTCTATATAGTATTCCTACAGTCTCATACATCTGGAATTAGTCTAACCAGGACAGCTTACAATTATTCACAAGTCTGTTACTAAAACACACAAGCTAAGCACAGGTAAGTTAGGTTCTAGGCACCGCAGAATAATAGTTTATTGCAACTCGAAGACTTGATTAACTCATTCTATGTTTTAAGGCAAAACATTTCATCTTACTCCAACTAAGTCTCATTCTTTGGTATGAAGTAACAAAAATTCAATAAGTTCTCTGTAAGTTTAGTAAACTGAAATATGCACAAGATATAGCTATGAGAAAAATTATTTCTCAAGCCATCAGTTATGTAACTCCCACTTTTCTCCCCGAATATTTAAAGAGAGTGGTTGCCAGAGTAGACTCAGTTACATTTCTGTTTCATCACCTTCAAGGCTGACATCAAGACAGATCAAAAGGGAACTTCTGGAAACAAACCCTCTCTCTGGTATGTTGCTGAAGAAGAATCTTTGTGAGATAATGTATGATTGACATTTCTCTCATTTCTGTCATCTCAATGGTAGAAGGCAAAATGTACAAACTCATATATGTTTTATGATTTGCATCTATCATTTCTTTAAGGTTTCTATACTGCATCCACCAAAAGTATATATTTTAGAACAATCATTCTATGTGGGATACATCATATTTTTAAGGAAGAATTAAATTAAAATATCAAACGTAGTCTTACATGACTTTGACTATTCATACTTGATCCCTTTTATTCACTTTCAGAAACATATGTATTTCTTATTTTTAATTTCTATTAGTGTATGTTTGTGAAACGTAATGAATATATTCATCGTAGGGTATTGGTACATATATATAACATATCTTCATCCTTTCTACTTCCTCTTCCTCTTCTCTCCCTCCAGTCTCTCCCCATTCCCAGATTCCCTCCCCACTTCTATAAAGTCTATCTCCCTGTTTCCTATCATTTTTCTTTTATTTTGCTTTTTAAATTATTTACATTTTGGAGATGGGTGTGGTGGAACAACATGTAATCCCATCACTCAGTAGGCTGAGGCAGGAGGATTGGTGGTTGGGCTACACAGTGAGTTCAAGGCCAGCATGAACAGCAAAGTGAGGCCTTGTCTCAAAGCAATAAAAATATCTTTTTTTTTTTTTTTTTAGTACCGGGGATCAAACTCGGGTCCTTGCGCTTGGGCAGCAGGCAGCGAAACCACTGAGCTAAATCCCCGGCCCTCAAAGCAATAAAAATAAATCAATAAATAGAATATTTTGGGTTTCTCATTATAAGAGAAATCATCGTAAGTATATGTACTTCTTAAGGTTGACCACAAGCTAACACTTTAAGCATAGGTTTGATTTCAAAGATTAAATGTCCTCATAGGTTAATTCAATCTCTCTTGCTAATTTAAGATAAGGAAAGAGCTAAGAATTTGGAGATGGTTGGTGGCTTGAACACATGCTTAGGGGCAACCTTAGGAAATGCCCACTTATTCCCCGAAACAATGCATTGGATGAGCAGAACAAAAGACAATGCTGAGTTTATTTCCTTTTTATTGCCTGTTAGTTAGGTTTTGTGTTTTTTGGTGCTGGGGATTAAACCCAGGACCTTATAAAAATGAAGTACGCCCCTTACCTCTGATCCACAAGCCTGGCCTCGGTTTGCATTCTTGAGCTGATCGCTCACTCTCTAAATCTCACTAAAAAGTCTCATTTACTCAGAACTATCAGAGGCACTGGCATTTAGCCATAGCAAAATTTGGTGCTTGCTTTTAAGTTCTTCTAACCACTTTCATTCACAAGAGCATGTCTTTGCTGTGGACTCTTTAAAAGAAGTGCAACTACTCCCATTTTTGAAAAGTAATGTGGCGGTGAGAAATAAAGTTGTCTTAGGAAATTCCTCTGGGACTACTACAGCTCACCTGTGAGAAGATATTAATTGGTCATCCTGAGGTTATCCCTCTGGGACAATTTTTTAAGAACAGAGTGCAAGAGAGTATAGACCTTCATACCAATCCAACATTAAACTCTGTGGCATGTACATTTACCTTCAACCAGGAGTGCTTCCTCATCTTCAGACGCCCCACCCACATGTCTGTCAGCAGCATTTGGGTACAAGAATGCGAAACAAAAGGGTGCAACCCTCCAGACACAGCCAATTTCAAGCAGGTGGAATTGCTCCAGTTCTTAAGTTCGTACGTCAAGAGCTTCATGGCCATGGGTTCGTTCTGCTTAAATGCCTTCTCTAGCACATCCAGGGCCAACTGGCCAAACTGCCTGTAATGAGAATTCATTAATGGAGACTACTGTGGCAGGGGGGAGCCCCAGAAATGTTCTAAAGGATTGGATGCAAGACTCAAACTCAAGTTAATCTGACTTTATTTTTTTTTAAGTAAACAGCAATTAAAAAATTTAAAATCTCAGTCTGCAGAAGCTAAAATGATGGTGCATTAGCAAAGTGATCTCTCCCCTTCATGGGGGAACAGGACTGGGGTGCTTATACTGTGGTGCACAGATTTTAGCTTATACCTGACGTACCTGTCAGGAGAAGCCCTCCCACACCGTGCTACGTGTGACAGCTTGGCGTGCGGCTCCCTGAAAAGTCCTAATAGAATTTTCTGACTGAAAACACTGATCAGACCTAACCTTCTGTCTAAGGAAAGTTGTTGGGGGATTTTTTTTTTCATATTTTGTAAAATGCCTTGATAACTTAAGAAGTTAGGTCTAGAGAGACACCCTCAGGAAATTTTTCATGAGGTTGTTTCCTCTGAAAAAACTTTCATCCTCAGGACTTTCTTCAAAATAAGTATTATAAATTCACCTCTATTATCTCTAAGCTTCTTTTCTTTCCTCACTACTATAACACTACAGCATTCAAAAAGCCAAAAGTACCCTACTTCTAACTTTTCCATCTTTACAATTACTACAATTACTCTAGTTCTTTAATATAATGCATTCATTTAAGCCAAACGTCTTAATTTAACTTAAGATCGAAGACTTTCAGAGTCAGAGGAATTTTCAACATCATTCCAAAACCATTAACTATAGTTAAGAAACTAGAACCCTATCACTTCTTGGAGTTTTGACTAAAATCAAGTGTAGAAACTAAAGCCCCAAAAATGTGGTCAACTAGTCATCTGGACTTAGGACCCAGCTCTCCTGAAATGAAGTCCTCCCTTTCTTATATTCCACAAAGTTCCTTAAAATCCTTTTGGTAGACCAGTCCATGAAATACACCGCATGATGATTAGTGCTAGTAGTCACCTTGGCTGGATTAGGAACTATCTAGAAACCTCCTAAAGCATTTGGGTGTGTCTGTGTGGAGGTTAGCATGGAAATCTGAGCACCCTGAAGGAGAGAGGATCCATCCTCTATGCAGTGGGACCACCTACACTGCCAGGAGTCTGAGGAGAACAAACACAGACAGTTAATTGGTCTCTGCCCCTGGAGAGCTGGAACATGCTTATCTCCTGCACTGGACATCAAATGTCCACGATCTCTATCTTTGGGATTCCAAGACTTACACCAGCGGCACGCTTACCAGATGTCAGCTTGAACTAAGAGCTACACCACTGGATTTCCTGGTTCTAGGGTCTTTGAATTTGGATTGAGCCACACTGGGGCACTTTAAGGGTCTCCAGCCTTCAGGCAGCCTGTCATAGGACTGTTCAGTCACAATAATATCATCAATTCCCTAGTGAATCCCCTCTCTTGTGTCTGTATCTACATATACATACACATGGCGATAAGGACTGGTCTCACAAGTTTTAGGGTGAGAAAGATAAACATGTCTAAATGTGCCCATAGTAGCTCTTACTTTGAGTAATTTTTCAGCTCTTCTGAGGTATCGTCCACCATGTTGCTCTCCTTAGCTTCACGGGCCATCGCTCGGTAAAGGATACAAGCAATCACAGCCTTAACTGTGGCCTCTGCTCCATGCTGCCAAAAGAACATGGCCATCTTCTGCCTCTTCATTAGCACAGCCCAAACCAGCAGGTCATTGTATGGGTAAGTAAAGCCAGTAGACTCGAGGTCATCTAATATATCTTGTCTTTCTTTTGACTTGTTCCTTGATTTATGAGGGACTCCAGACTTTTCCTGTCGGAAAGCAAAATAGGGTTAAGTTTCAAATACTCAGGTGCATGACATTTTAGCTAATGTAACACACATGGCAAGTGACCTACAGATATTTTTTAAAAATCATTACTAAAAAGAGAGATGAAGATATCAGTAGGACTTATAAACGAGGCAGAAAAATATAGATGTTATGACAACCTATTTCCTGTTGCATTTAATAGATCTAGAGTCTACAAGCTGAGATACCTTAAGTTAATTTAGCCCAAATTAAATCAGTACTGCTTTGGGACATACCCAGTAACTATTTGACAACTTTCTCAAAGCAATGAGTTGAAATAGTACATTGCATAAATGAGAATTTTTTTTTTAATCTTTAACCCCACCTTAGCAAATAGATTCACCATCTTCCCCTTGGGAGAAATGTCACTAGTGTTGCCAACGTGCATCCAACTACATTGGTTTTATGTTTCCTCTCTTCTATTCTATTTCTCTAGTGAAGGCAATAAATAATAATGAAGTGTTCTCTTATGAGTAAGCTCAACCTCTACAACTCAATGCAGATGCCACTCTAACCCCACGTGCTTCCACATCACTTCCTGTCTGTACTTTGTTGTCCTTCATACTGCACTATGCTATTACCTTGGGGCAAGGGGGACTACTTCTCAGTCATCATATCTGTCCCTACCTGCCCATCTCCCAAATTCAACCAAATATTTGGTATAATGTCTGAAAAATAATAAAGGTTCAAAATTACTCTCTGTAATTAGAAGGATCATAGCCAAACAATTGTAATCTGTTTTCTCAATTTTCATAAATAAAGGGAATCTATGTTCATTAATGATGGCCAAAGATAATCAGATATCTTTGCATCCCCAAGTCCCTAGAAAGCAAACCTTTTTCAGTCAACCTGGTAATTATTTATTAAATGGAAACTCTTAGGCAAAGCATTTATCCCCAGAAGAAAGTGGGATTGAGGGAGTGAGGAGGAAGAGGAATAGCCATGTTGTGCATACGTATGCATGAAAGGTACACACACACACACACACACACACACACACATAGGCACACACACACAGGCACCCACACACAGGCGTTATCATTGTTACACTAAAACTTTAGGCTAAAATGTATTTCAAGAAACCCTCAAAAGGGAAACAGAAGTTACAAAGGGGCAATTTGAGAAAACAGAAGAGAAAGAACAGCTCTCACACCCAACTAGTCTTGGGTTAAGGAAGACAAGGATGTGGTATTAGGCTAATGATTACACATCTTTAATACCATTGTGTAGACTGCCTACCTGAGTCACTGTCTGGACAGGGCAGAGGTAGGAACAAAGAAGAGAAGCTGAAGTGCAAGCCAAGACAATCACTTAGTCGTCAGTGTTATGTCACAGGCCTTTGTTCATTCTCGGTAGAGGACAGCTGTGTTATGCTTTTGACTTGTGCCTCCTGTTATAGTGCTTGTAAATGGTTCCTCTATCTGTACCTCTCTTTCTCTAGCTTTAATTAAAGAAAATCTCAGTCTGCAAAACACAATGTTATTTCCACCTCTAGAAGCAAGTGCATGGTACCTTGAGTTTGCAGGGCTGGGCCGTTCTGCAGAACTGGGAATGCAGTGTGCTTTCTTCGGACTCTCTTCTATTTTCTAAAGAGTGCCTCTGGTGAAGGGAGTGCTGGGAAAGGCTCTGACCTAAGCTGGTCACACTCTGCATATGTTGTTATTCAATTTTTTTAAAGACAACAATGAGAGAAAAAGAATGGACAACAATGAAAGCGAAATATAATATTGTTTCCTACCAAATATCCAATGGTTCTATCTCTCCTCCGTGATTAGCAATTGATATCCCTGGAAACTAACTACTCACCGAACAAGACTCTCTCATGATCTCCTTCTTATGCACACTGTTATTTCCTAACATCTTAGAGAACATTCTCTATTGCCCCCTGTTATACAACTGCATTCCATTGCTAGGTGGAAATCCCATCACAATCAATGGTTATTCTATCTTTAGAAGAAGTATAAAACAGGCAATAAAGATTTATGGTTCTGATAAGAGAAAGTTCCCATTCACAAATGGCTCTGAGGTTCAGATGAAGTTAGAAGGTCATGGAGTTTCTCTAGGTGTTACATAATATCTCCACTGTGGTTCCAGCGGTTAGGCCCAGTAACAACATAACTCATTACTATCAGCATGAAATTTTCATTGATGAGAAACAAGAATGGAAGAAACATTTTCAAAAGGACTGACATAAATTTGTAACATACAAACTCCAAATTTGGAACTGCTCTATATATTCTCAGTTTGTGTTTTATGGATAAAAACTGGACATAGAAACAATGAGCTCAAGACTCAAATTATTATCATTATTATTGAGGCATAGAATTAATGGTTATTCTTACGGCAAAGAGCTATAATGACTATGATCACTAACAATTGCTCAATACCCACTATGTACCAGGAATGTGGATTTTTCAGGTATTATATAATTAACCCTTCTGACAAGTTTATGAAAGGAATATTAATATTCTCACTTTTAGGTGAGGTAGCTGATGCACAGAAAGGTTAGGTTTATTACTCAAGATTACACATTGTTATGGCTGGGATCCAAATTTTCCTTCAGAAAAGCTTATTGTATTGAAGGTTTGGTTGCTGATGGGCCTTTGGGAAATGACTGGATTATTCCAGCTCTATCTTCATGAGTGGAGTCATCTTGATCAGTTCATGATTTGATGGCATTATTATCAGGAAGTGATGGAAATGGAGGTGCACCGTTGCTGAAGGAAGTAGATCATGGAGGCATAAGACTGGAGGCTGTATCTGGACCCCCGTCACTTCCTCTCCAACTCTGTCCCTCACTCTCTGCTTCTCAGCTGCTAGGAGGAGATTAGCTTTGCTCCATCATGCTTTCTTGCTTTCTTCCCTGATGTTCTGCCTCATCTGAGGCCCACAGCAACAGAACCAGCTGACCATGGACTGAATTTCTGATACCATGAGCCAAACTAAATCTTTCCTCCTTTAAGTTATTAATGTCAGGTATTTAGTCAGTGAGGGAAAGCTGATGAATACATATGCCTACAAGGAACAAAACTAAGATTCAATCTCAGATCTCTCAGATTCCCAATCGTGCACTTGTGACTATTCCAACTGAGTAGCAGTCTACTATGAAACACAATAACTGTCCTACCCCACTGAAATGTATTTGCAAAAGCGGCTAATTTCATACTGGTGGCCCAAAAGCACACGAGGAAAACTCCTGTAGCAAGCTTCATACTGGGCTGTACAAGGCCACAGTCCTCCTATTGCCATAGGAGACCTCAAAGCAATGGATATTTTCTTTAAATGAAGCATCTTTCATTTTCTAAAGCCAAGTGTGCTTTCACTTCTGCTTCTTTAAAAATGATAGCTGTATAGTCCACGCTCTCGGTGTGTTCTCACATTAAAACACCTTTCCAGTCTCATCCTTCACAACCTCCTTGTCACCACACAAAACACACCGTGATTTCTTCAAGCTGCGTCTACCCTTGCTCCTGGTCTTCTCTCAACTAAATGCTCCACACTTCTTTTGCTAACGTTGACCTCATCTTCCAATAACAATCAGGCTCCTTCAGCTCCTAATATGTAATGATAATTTTAAGAAAAAGCAATGTTTTCTCTGCTAATCTACTAAGCAACTCGAGTCTTATATCCTTAAAGTAGTTATTCATAAACCTGTTTCTTGTAGAAGTTTCTAAATACCTGATCTTTATGTTCATTCCATACCTGTGTGACAGCACTTAACACAGTATTTTGCAAACAGCAGTTTACAACTGTCTACAAACAGAATGCATAATTATGATTACTAATTACCCTTAGTTTCACTAAGGTACTCTCCCGCCCCCCAGCGGTACTAGAGATTGAAACCAGGGCCTTCACACTGAGCTACAACCCCAACCCCCTCATCTCTTTTTTTTAAGATAGTGTCTAATGGCTAAATTCCCTGAGCCAGTCCCAAAACCAAGATCCTCCTGCTTCAGCTTCCTAAGGTGGTGCCATCACACCTAAGTACTAGGGTGCTTTTCAATTACGTTACCTTCTGTTTTCTATAGAGGTTGTTGTACAGGACTCTGAAAGTTTTCCTAGTATAGCTGCTGCGGTAGGCTCCACCAATGAGGTATTCTACTACCAGTCCAATGTCAATCAGTGTTATTTTGTAGCCAGAAAGAAGAGTATGCTGTAATAAAAACACACAATGAATTAAAACTTTCCGATCTCTTTTTCTGTCTCATTTTCCATGCTATCAGAACATAACCAAATTAATGGCCAAGAGGTAAACTTTTTCATCAGCTTTGCAAACTGCTTGATTAACGTGGCCGACTATTGACAGAATCTGCTTGTTCAGATGTAAAAAGGTCTTAGCCTTAATATGCTTTTCCATTTCACAGGTATCAAATATATTCTTACATCTGTGTGCTTTCTTTTCCTTTGTCTCTATTTTCCTCTCCCTATTATGCAGGCAAACATACATACATACACATATGAATAAACTCATTTAAATCTCGGATAAAAATTGTTTTCAAATAGAAATTGTGTAATTCCAGAAGTAAAACCATGATGTTTATTGTGAATGAATTTAATCCAAAATTAGCACAGAGTTAACTTTCCACCACACTGTTGAAATGGCTGTAAACCTTTGCACTGTGCTGGCTATGCCTGTTGTGAAACAAAAACACGGAAGGAAGTAGAGCAAATAAAACCAAGGAACCAACGTCTGCTCCCAACCATGCCAGACTGCAGCTCGGAAACTGTCCGGTTTGCGTATAGAGTCCCAGCCCCTGGGAGTGACTCTTAGGGAGCTGGCAGCCTGGGCATCCAGAATTCTGGTTAGGCACCAAAGGGGCCAAAGAGCCCTGTTTTGTTTTCAGGTTGTTGTTGTTTGGGGGTTTTTTGTTGTTTTTTGGCAGGGGTTGGGGGGGGGGGTTGTACCATGGATTGAACTCAGGACCTTGCACCTTCGAGGCAGGCAGTTGTACCCCTGAGCTAAATCCCTGGCCCTCCTTTTTTCTGTTTTTTGTTTTTTGTTTTTAGTAGGGGATTAAACCCAGGACCTTTGCACTAAGCTACAGTCCCAGCCTGCCCAACACCCGCCCCCCTTTAAATTTTTAGACAAGATCTTGCTAAGCAGCCCAGGTTGGGCTCCAACTTGGGATCCTCCTGCCTCAGCCTCCAAGAGGGCTGGAATTCTTCTTTCCTGCTGCTGATTACATGATGACCCACCCCCAACCCCACCCCGCCCAGTCTTCCCTCTTCAGGCTCCTGAGAAACCTTCCCTAGTGAGGTAAACATTAGATTGCTGCATATAGAAAAGGGGACTGGGGATGTTTATTTCACTGATTAAAGGCTCTTTAAAAGCAAAGAAAAAAGCAAGGAACGCAAGTTAAGGAGCCAAATGTGATATCAAATGATTAGGTTATGGCAAAACAAACGTTTGGCTGACAGAAGAGCTAAGTGCAGGTATCTTAGTCTAAAGGAAAATTGCCCTGACACCTTAAACAAATGTCACGTGACTCTCTCGTTGTAGCTGTTCAGTTCTGAGCTGCCATTCACAGTGAATTTTTAAGGTATACAGAGTGCCAGACAAGGTCTCTAAAATGGGCAGACTGTGAATAATATTCACAAAGCTGTGAACAAGAAATAAAACTGCATATGTATGTGTACAATTTTTCTTTTCCACATTTGTAATTTATTTTTTCAAGCAACACCCAAAATAATATTCTTTTCTGCTGCTAGTTACAAGCACATTTAACATAGTTTGTCCCTTTTGCCTCAGTTTATTATGATAGAGTTAGAGGAAATAACTTAAGGAAAATCATTTTAATATAGCATAAATTAATGTAAACTGAATTCACATTAGCATAGATGTTTTTGCTTACTCTAAATTTGCCAAGAAAATGTATCCCTCTGGTTCTCCTACCAAGTCAGCACAAGCAGAAGGTCCACATGCTAATAGCATACTAGACTCCAGAAAAATTAGAGAAGAACTTAGAACGTGCCTTGGGTGGGTATGAACCATAGTGACAAATAAAAAGCCTTTCCAATTTCAAGTTTGATCTAACTCAAACTGAGTGGGAACACCATGAGTAAGATGGTTGAGTAGTGGGAACCCTCCTGATTCCCTAGAACAAAGCCTAGACTCACAGAAGAGGTGACAGCATCCCTGAGTTGTCACTAATATTCAAAACAATAATACCAGAAACAAGGGAAATCACAGTCCAGTCCTCTAATGAAGACAACAGAGCCACACAGTTCTCTGGTTCAGTGAGCACTGCCAGCACAGTCGGCTAAGGTTGTATGATGCTGAGCTGAAGTTGACTGCAATTGCTGTTCATATTTTTTATTAGCTAATGTCACTTCCTTGATGGATCAGCACTTTAAAAACACACAGTAAATTGGGGGGGAATGTACGAGTATGGTTTTGTGATGAAATTGTGTAAAGAGTGTATGTAATTCACTCGAAAATTCAAATCTGCATTTTATAAAGCAAAATTTGGTGACTTCATCATAAAGCTAAGGCAATACATAGCACATCTACACCTTCATAACTAGGTTACCTGTTTCACGTCTTGGACAAGATGATGCAAGAGCATATTAGTTGGCCCCTGTTTCTGTGATAAAGAACAAAAGGAAGAATTAATTCCCTTTAATTACTACATGTTGCAGGGGCAGGCATTTTGTTTCAATTCAGAATATGGAAAATTTTTGTTCAACATTTCTAGTAATGAAGCTGAAGCTAGTTAATTTTAAGGAGTTTCCCAAGAGAAAATATGGTCAGATGAAATGTTTTTCAAAGCAAAATGTATACATGCAGATAGTTAACTCTATGTTGTAAAAAGCAGAAATAAATTTTAAGTCATTTATAACTATCCTTTCTCATATATAAACATTATCACACAATTACAAATCTCACCCAAAAGCATTCCATCATCAGCTAGTTATTGAAACCGTATAATGGTCAATAAAGTCTAAGGGACTGGAGGGCTTACAGTGATAGAAAAGAATGAGTGCTTACACTAAAAGCTAGGCGCTAATGGGACAGTGTACGTGCTGAACACCGAACTCACTGGAGTAATCAAGGAGACAGAGCTTGAATAGCTTGAAGAAAGTAATATTCAAAGGACAAGGAGAGATATTTCAATTGCCTAACTGGAGTTTTTATAATAAGTAAGCCAGTTAATTTCAACAGAGGGTTTGCACAGGGAAGTTGTGGAACATTTTTTTTTTTTTTTTGAGACAGGGTCTCACTACGTAGCTCAGGCTGGCCTAGAACTCATAGTGATCCTCCTGCCTCAGCCTCCTGAGTGCTGAGATTCTAGCATGCACACTATGTCCAGAAAGAACAACATTTTAATAGTGGCCTTATGATAACATACTTCAAATAGCTCAATAAAAAGCAATTTGTTATTATTCACATCTTTGTCTTTCTTAATAGAACAAAAGAAGTTGGTAAGAGTATTTCTCCTTTGGTTGAAAGTCTCTACCTCTATAAACTATCTTTGTACATGACCATTCAAGGAGGCAGTTGAATATACAGCTAATTAATCAATAAACCGTATGGGGTATGACTGGTGAGATGTTCCCTACTCACTGTATTATAGAGCTCTTCCAATCTGGGGATGGTAAGAAAGCGATGAAGCGTCACTCCATTTTCAATTAAGAGCTTCACAAAATCCACTCGATCCATCACCAAAGCATCTAACATCGCTTGTTCTAGCATGCCAGGCTTCAGAAGGTATAAACAAGACATACAAAGACAGTCAAACAAAGAAGAAATAACTGAAGAATTACATGGATTGGAACTCAAAGCTACACAGATACGATAATTACAAAATATAACCTTAGAACTGAGCAGGACCTAAGTGAAGATACCTGAATAAATCAAGAAACATCTCATGTTGTTGGATGGGAAAAGTGAGTATTTTAAAGATCTCAAAGCTCCCCCAAATAATGTGCAGTCTTAACAAAATTCCAATCAAAATTTGAAGTTTTTGTTTTTGTTTGCTTGTTGCTGCTGTTGTTACTGCTGAATGTTGGTTTGCTGTGGTAAGACCATGTTTCCATGTAAACGTTACTTGATATCTGAGTATAAATAGCAAAGTGAACACACTGCCCTAGCGCTACTCCCATATAAAATTCCATTAATACTGCAGCAATTGGTTTTGTTTTGTTTTGTTTTTTAAAGAAAACCATGAACACAAGAGTAACAAGAATGGAGACAAGAATGTGGTGTTTTGGAAGGTGGAAAGCCATTGGTCAAGTGAAAACTGACTTCACAGTCCCCAGAAAGCCAAAAATAGTCAAGTGGGAAATGTCAAAAGCTGAAAATATCTATGCCACAGAATTCCAGCAGCACCAAAATGAAATAAATGTGTGCATACTGACTCCCTGGTGTTGGGGACCTTCTCACTCATAGTTCCCTATTAACTCCCATTACATGAGCAACAAGGCTTTGCCTTTCAGGCAGGGCATAGAGAAAGGATTCTTGTCAGGTAGTATCACCAGTACAAGAGAAAGGACCTGAGTATGCTGGTATTTGGAAGCAGCCCTCAGTAAACAACAGTCAGGTCATCCTATTATAAATCTCAAACCTAGGAAATCTACAACTACAGGCCCAGAATCTCTAGGGGGCTTTCTGTCCCACACTCTTAAACAGAAAGATCAAAGCACACAGATCATAAAACATCAACTGGGAGAAATCAGATAATCCAGGAAGAAAATGTCAAAAGAATTACTGTCAATATCTTGGGAGAGATAAAATGAGATAGAGTCCAGATGCAAATGAATTAAAAAAGGAAGACAATACAATCAGAGAACAAATTTGCTCCTACAAATTACCATATTAAGTATATCCTGCTAGAAAAGAAAAGCTTCATAGAAGTGTTAAAAATTAAAGTTGAAGAAATCTACCAAAGATATAGAACATAATAGAAAACAATATAACAGGATTAGAGAAGCATTCTATGTGGTTCGACACTCAAAATATAGGACTCCAGGGGCGAAAAAAGAGAGAACAAGTGAATGGAAGGGAAACATGAATGTTGAGCTAAAATCTCATGCCCAAAGTAATGGACATTCAGACTCACAACAACAAACATCACGGTGACATCTTGGAACACCAGAAAAAAGATGACATTTTTACATTTCCACATTAGAAGGAAAATGGTCAGAAACAAAGACTCTGAAAAGCAGAACTATGTGTACTTCTCCAGAGCAATGCTATATGTTCAAAATTCTGGCGAAAAATTAGTTCTAATCACAAGTTAAAATGTAGTCAAACAGACAGGCCCTCAAAATATTTGTATTCCATACTCGCTTCCTCAGAAGTTATCAAAAAATGTACGCCATCAACATAAAGATGTAAATTAAGAAAGAGGAAGTCCTGAGATACAGAACAGGGGCACCGAGGTAACGGAGGGTCCTCCCTGCAGGACAGCCAAGCACTGGGGGCAGGAAGCAACTGGTCACACTGCAGCCATGCTACCCCTTCCCTCCCTCCCTCCGGTACAGAGAAGTAGAGAGGTTTCCAGAATGGATGAATCAGAGGACAGCTACGTAACATTACCTAGAAACAGAGAAATTCTATATAAATGCTAGAACAATTTTAAAATGTCAAAGACAGTAGGCTCATGGTGCCAGGAAAGCATTTTTTTACAAGTCTTTAATATCACTTCATGTTTTACAATGTTCATTCATTAGTTTGACCCAAACATACCTTTAGTAGAATTACAACTTTAATTTCTTTAAATGAAATATTAATATTGATTAGCATTATAGGCAACCTTTGTTTCTTTTTTAACCAACTTCTACTGTGAGCACTTATTATATTTTAATGCAAAAAAGTACAACTTTTAAGTTTGAAGTAATAAAATAAAAATCTACCCATTCAAAAAATAAATAATAAATCCATCCATTCTGTCTTCCCTCCAACCTCCCTTTTCACTTTCAATTAGGCTGAAAAGATGGGGAAAATCATTTTCAAGGAGAAAAAAGTAGAGGAGAGAAAAGTGTTAGCTGTCCCTGGGAGCCCTGCTATGAGGATGCGACTCCCATCTCCTCCCAAACCAATCTATCACCTGCCAGTATTCTCTTTGTCCCTCTCTAACGAGGCAACATACAGAATATTTTTTCCAAATCACTTCATGTTCACTATACCTTCCAATGTTGTCCACAAATTAAGATGTGTTTCTTGGCAATGTCCAACCTGTCCCAAGCCACCGCTAGATTTAGTTGCTCCAGTGCTGATAAGTTTGTGCCTGGGGTGAAAGAAAGGAACAATCATGTGCTATTCAAAGTATGTAGACAATAACCAAAGCACAAAGTGCCCTAGGATGTCAGAATAGAAAGTGAAGAGCTCCAGATCTATTTGGTTACCTACCCTTCAGCAGTGCTGTCAGAATTACTAAGTCCAGGTCTTGCTGTTCTTCAGAATCAGCATCAAATATGGTAATCTATAATGGTTGAAAAACAGAAAGCCAGACATTCGGGAAAAGAGCAAAGAAATACTCTCAAACAATCTCTGTAGAATTTACATTTAAGCTAATGAATTAAAAAAACTATTCCTCATTTTATAATTTCAAAACCAGATAGGCGATTTTGTTTCGTGTTTTGTTTTACTTATAAAAGAGAAAACTTTTGAAATAGAGTGACAAAAAGTTGCAGGCAATTGGAAAAAATAAAAGTTCAAGAATTCCATGTATACTAGAATTTGCTATGTGTGTGCTATAAAGGGAAGAAACTCAGTATTAATCCCTAATGTAAATAAAATTATTCTTCCTTTGGAAGAGATACCAAATGAGATCCTGCTGCTCACCTACACCTATCAGCTAAGACTGTTGCATTTTAATGAAAAATGAATCCTCAAGTGTTTGTCCTTTCAAAATGTGACAATGACAATGGACCCACTGAGCAAGTACAAAGAACAGCACAGTCTTCCCAGAAAAGATGAATAAAGACTTACAAAGGGTCACCTGAAAATGAATATATATTTCACATAGTACAGGAAGCTGGTTTAACAGAAAAGAACCAGAAGTAGCAAATCCTACTCCCAGGTAGGCCACCAACCAGCCAGCTTTGGATAAATATCTCAAAACTCTTGAATATAGCCACAAAATGAGAATCCCCCACTGAAAAATCTCTATGGTATCATAAAGATAGAAAAATCACACTTCTACAACTTCAGATGGGAATGGATAAAAATCAACCCCCAACTGTCCAGGACCTGAACACAGACACTGCACTGTGCAGATCCTTGGCTTCTTTCTCCTGCCCTTCTTGACCATTCTTCTGCACATTAATTCCACAGCTTGATGACAGGACTGGTGACCTCTTTAATGTAGTCTTATCTTAACTTACTTTATCTCCACTATTGTAGGAAATACAAAGTGTAGTGGGCTAAGAACAAGATTGCATCTGTGAGCTCAAATTTCAGCTCTACCATTTCCTAACTACATGACCGCGCAAATCACCTCTGTTCTCTAGTCTTGAATTTCACATCTCTGAACTGGAAATAAACCACTGTCGTATTGAACTCATGCACTCGTGGGACTATTTCAGGTAAAGAAATATACTTGAAAGTACACTGCTAATTTTAAGCATGGTGGTTGTTGCTATAGTTATTATATGTTAAGAAAAGTCACCAGCAGGTTTTCCCACCTGCTTTGTCTAGCCTGATCTTTTCCAGTTGTTTTTTTAAGACTGGGAACTATAATATTACCAATATTCTTCCAATAAAGTGTCCAGTCTTCCAATTCTAGAAAGATCACTTCAAATCATGACATATCTGCATATTTATTGCAGTTTTCAGCTTCACATAATATAAGCCATGGATAAAAATGTTGATCATTGTACCCTAACACTACACACTTTTCAAACTGCGTCTACATCACGGTCGTAGCCCAGTGTGTGGACTCGGTTTTCTATTCCAGCATTTATTCTCACATTTCCCATTGTCTGACACGTTCCCGATGACCTCTAGCAGGATTTACTCAGGAGTCTGTGACTCAGGCATCTAATGCATCAGATTTGAGTTCATTGAAGAGATGGAGCTGTTCACTTACTCTCTGGAAATGTTTATGTACAATTTTCATTTAGTTTGACAACTTTCCTCTAATACTATTTTTTCCTGTCTTTTTCCTAGGAAGTCTGGAATTTGAAGCGGGGAGAGGAGAGCAGTAAGAAGCCAAGTTTATTCACATAAGCTTCAAATTCTATTGAATAGCTATAGCATTATAGGTATTCATGGGAAAAGCCCATATTTTAAAGATTGTGAAGATCAAAATTGCAATTCTGGAAACTGGCATTTTTTTTCAGTAAGTTTGAGTAATCAACTCATAATACTCACAGAATCCTTGTACACCATACACTCCATTAGAATTTGAAAAAGGTGCTTGGATTGTTTGAGACTGAAGTTGAAAGTGTTCTGAATCATAGAGATGATCTCCTCTTTTACCTGGGGACGCAGAGTCCTGGCACAGAAATAAATGATCATGACCTGGCCCAATCCAGACAAGGAACAAAACCAGCAACCGCAGTATCAGACAGCCACACGCCCACCTTTCTGGGAATGTTTCTATGGACAGTTCTGCCAGAGAACAAACGAGCAGGGGCTCAGGAGAAAGCTGAATCTGCACTCGAGGCAGATCTGTTGAGCTGACAGATTTCCTGAGAGCTGTGAATCTCCAGAATTATCAGCCATATTCTCAAAAAGATGTGAAACCCTAAAAGGCTTAAGAACCATTCATCCAGGGAACTCTAAAAAAGGGAATGTGAGAAAGGAGTGAGATCAAGGTTAGAAGTAGAGGACTGAGGGCTTAAGAGTGGGAGAAGGAGTAAGGAAAGAGATTCCAGAAAGCTGAGAGAACATAAGCGGTGAGTAAATGTTTACCAAACAAATTGCTGGAGTTGCCAGTTCAGTTCTCAGGCACTGTACTTACATGGCATAAACATTATGCTCCCAAAGCTGCAAGATCTACCCTGGCTTATAAGAATGGCTAGAGAAACATTATCTTTGAAAAAGAGAAAAAATCAAAGCCTGAAATAAACACAACCTGCCACTTGGCAAATAAATCTGAAGGTGATCTGGACACAGAAGCCTGAGGGGCAGAGCAGGGGAAACACTAAGAAGCCAATTGTATCCATCTCTTTCATCCTCACAGAGAAATAAATGGTCATGAAAATACAGTCACTGAAAAATGGGTTCCAAGCTCAACCACTGTCCTCTAAGGGAAGGATATGTGACCCCCATAAAGGCACACCTGGAAGAACAAAACCAGTCAGAAAAGCAGTCACTGGAGTGTCCAACGACTCACCCCTCATCGGCTAAGTGCTTGTGGGTGAAGGCCAGCAGGTCGGCAGCTCTGCCCGTGCCCTCACACACCACCACGGGGTCTTCATCCTTGACGGTCTCCCACACCGAGAAGATGACACTGGGACCTCCTTCCACCACCAGCCCCACCACGGGCACCCCTTGTCTTGAGCCTGCTTCAGATCACAAACAATAAATACCACACTGTTTCGAAGCATCCGTATCTCAGCCAATCAGCACTTGGGAGATCTGGACACAAGTCTTTGAATAACCATCCACATGTGGCCGTTGCTTATACCAGCCAAATTTCTCTTACGTTACCCAAGCCAGAAACTTGGGCAAGACCAAGCCAGAAACTTGGACTTCAGGCATGAATATGGTGAGGATATCTTCAAGCTTTTGCCAAGTGAAACAGTAGCTAAAGGCTTTTATTTTTTTCCTTAATACTAGGGATTAAATCCAGAGTCTTCCCACTGACCTAAATCCCCAGTCCTTTTGATCTTTACATTTTTGGTACAGGGTCTCACTAAGTAACTCAGGTGCCCACGCTTGCAATTCCTCCTGCCTTAGCCTCCCAGAGTACTTGGACGATGGGAATGTGCCATCACACCTGGCTGAAGTTTAACTTTTCATTATGGGAAATCCCAAAATGATCAAGCCCTTGGTAACTCAATAAACTTTTTTTTTTGGCAGTCCTAGGGATTGAACTCAGGACCTTGCACATGCCAGGCAAGTGCTCCACCACGGATTTCTATCCCCAGCCCTCTATAAACTTTTAATGGCAAGTATTTCCCAGAAATCAGATGGGCTGGGCAGCCTTCAAAGACCTTTACAATATATTTCATTTCAGTAGACTCCATTTTACTGTTTAAATTTCTTATCATGATCATATATTACTTTATTAAAACGAGGAAGACAAAAGGAAGGAACCGCCATGAAGCCTTTCACTTAACAGAAGTTATTAAGTGAAAAAAGTTATAGAATAATATGTATAATCCATTTCACATATATTTTTTAAAAGTTATACATGGCTATCCATTTTATATAAGTATGCATTTGGCCACATGTATAGAATGTTGTCTAAATGTCCAGATAATTCTGGAAGAGCATACATCCAAACTATATTAATGGTGGAAAACAGAGGGGAGGGCTTGCAGAAATGTTGTAAAGGGGCTTTGTGCATCTTATAGTTTTCTTGTGTAAGTTTTAATACCACACATGTATTAATATGTTATTTTAAATCAGTATTTTTTACTTTTCAAAAGAAGAAACATTGGCAACCAACATCCTCCTCACACCTGAGCACTAGAGAGCTTCACTCTGGGTCACATATCTGGACGCCCCCAGTGTGACTGTGCCCCGGCCATCCCCACCCTTCACAGAGAGGAGTCTACCAGGCTTGTCCCCTCCTCCTGGACTTCACAAGACTCCTGGTGCTGTTTACAGGGGTCCCGTCAGCCTCTGCTCAGGCATGTCTTCCCCGAGGGTATGCTTGTCAAAGCAAGAGACAGGACCAGTGCTTTGACTTACAAGTGGTCATGTGTGTGGCCTACCTGATATGCAAGATTGAGCCAAAGGTAGACAGAGATGCAGAGAGAGGGTGAAGGTACCCTCTGCCTCAGAGTAGTGTTCTGGCTCAGCATGTCCCCAAACCCAAGACTTGTAAAGTTAACCTGGCCTTTCCACTCGACATGTCAATGTAAGAGGGTAAAGTACATTGTATACGGAATGTTAGCTTGCTTTGAAGCTTTTAAACATTTAGACAGATGGCATGAGGGCTTCATGTGTATCTGTGCCCCAGACTCCACAAGGGCTATGGATGGGCCTGTTACACTTCATTCTGTCTATTCAACTGCACTGATATTCTTCCTTTCCTTTTTCATCCACCTCCCCCTCCTTATTATTTTCTCTGTATCTCTAAAAAGCAAGCTTAAGATGTACTAGCTGACAGACATGGTTACTCTAATAATATCATCTTATAAAAGCTAAATGAAATGGGAGAAAATGGTTCATTAAGGCACAGAAGTAATAGCAAAAATGTAGATAGTCATGTATTTCATTACTCTTGGGATTTTATTTCTTGTTTTGTTTTCCTTTATTTTGTTTGCAGTGCTTGGAATCAAGCCTAGGGCCTTACACATTCCTGGTAAACGTTCTACCACTGAGCTACAACCCCAGCCCAAGATGGCGGCTTCAGAGCACCTCTGCGAGCATGAGGCACCCTGGATACCTCCCACAGGCTTATTTCTAAAAGCCTTGTCAGGCTTAACCCCTTCCCTAGCCCACCCACATATGAAATGTCACTTCCCTAACCATCAAAGCTCAGACCCCCACTCCTCTCAGGCTCCTCTCCATATGGTTTTTCAGCCACTCCCGTTCCCACATGAAATCCTCCCCCTTCCCCACCATCCAGCTGTCAGTACTCTGGAGGCCCTTACTAATGTCTCCATCCTTCCACAAAACCTCCCCTGACTATACTGTGCCCCAAAGACTTCTTCCTCTTTCCCACTGTCACGCACAATTCTGCATCCTCGTTTACCCTGAATTCTTCCTGCTTTGGGACCACGTGTGTTAACTGAATCTCTCAAGAGCCAACTTATACAGAAGACAATGGAGCACCTTGCTCCTAAGCAGGCCCCTAGCCAGACCTGTTGGCTCAGCCCAGAAGAACTCACGGCTGTGTATTTTCTGCAGGGACAGGTACTTCTCCAGGTTCCTCCTGAGCTTTATTTCATTTCCGTACTTGCCCACAGTGCCATCATCAGACAGGATGAAATGAGAGTGCATGCAGTTGAGCGTGGTGAGCTTGCTGATGGGGCTACCCAGCATCTGGTACATGCACACCACCTGAGAGACACCCAAGACAAGGGAGGGTCAGAGCTCGGTCCTCCCCAGGTGTGGCTGCTCCAGAGGCCCATCCCCCTGCACTGCCAGACCTCCTCTCATGGTTAAAAACTATCACTTGCTACTTGGCATGGTGCTTTTCAAACTCTCTGTAGTGAGGGATCAATTTTCTCAACATTTCTCATTTCCTAGTGCTCAATACTTGGCCCTAGGATGTATGACTAGTATGCAGCTCATGGTACGTGAAAGTCACAACACGAGTTCAATAAGAAACACACACAGTGTGGAGCAGGACAAGCCCACTCACCATGGGCATGGACGTCACAGTGCAGTCAAATCATTAAAATGGCTCAAAAATATATTTTCCATCTCTGAACTTAGCTTATTTCTGAGCATTAAAAAAAAAAAGGCTAGTTGGGCCGGGGATTTAGCCCAGTGGCACCACGCCTGCCTCATAAGAAGAAGGTCCTGAGTTAGATCCCCAGTACCAAAAAAATAAATAAATAAAGGCTAGCATCAGTACATAGAGCACACTACTATCCAAAAAATATTTCTGTTAGTAGATCTATTTCAAAATATATATACTTTTGTTTTCCGTACCAGGGATCAAACTCAGGACTTTGCACTTGCAAGGCAGGCGAGGCACCACTGAGCTAAATCCCCAGCTCAAAAGAATATTTTGACACTGATTTTGTCTAGTATTCCCAAGAAAATGAAGACCATCAGCCAACGAGCCAAGCAATATATTTCATTCAATATAAAACATCAAGATCTTACGAATAAATTTACAAATGTTAAGCTGCTCTAATTTTAAAGCAGAGGGAGAGGAGGGAGAGGAGGGAGAGGGAATAAAAACAATTAAGATGTGTTATGTCCACGTACTGACTCCCCATGAGGAATGTGATCATTCTGTACTGTACTACAAACATGTACTAATAAAAAAGAAGAAAGAAAAAATTAAAATAATTCAATGAAAAAAATGAACAAAAAAATATATTGACCCTGTGAGCTAAATGAAATCTTCCCTCCTTTAAGGAAAGAAAAAGAAGCCTTTTATTAGCTCACTACAATGTATAGAACATTTTTGCACAAAGAAATCAAGCTATTGGAAACTATGAGATACCCTGAGAAAACTCACTGCTGTAAAAGGCCAGCACATGAGGAAAAAACAAAAAGAAGTATGAGCAAATAAAGATTTGACTTGATTAGTTGATGATACCAGGAATTATTATTGATAGTACGCAAGAATTATTGTTAATTTTTTAGTCATGATAACAGCATTGTGATTTATCTATATGTATAATTTTATCTATATATATAATTTTATATATTGGAGGGGAGGAAAATGCTCACAGGTCTTAATTGTGACACATCTTTTCTTTTTTTTTAACTTTTTTATTAGTACATATTTACCATATATAAGGATCACATTTATCATAGGGAATTTGTACCTGTACATAATATATTTATTCTTCATCTTTTCCCATTCCCCTCTCCTCCCTTTAACCGTCTTCCTTATACTTTCCTAAACTGTTCCTATAGTTTAGAAATATCCACTAAAATATTTAAGGATGACATTATTTGGTGTCTAGAGTTTGCCTTAAAATAACGGGGAGAAGCCGGGCATGATGTCACATGCCTGTAATTCCAGCACTAGGGAGACTGAGGGAAGAGGATCACCATGAGTTCAAGGCCAGCCTGGGCTACACAGTGAGTTCCAGGCAACCCTAAACTGCAGAGTGAGACCCTGTCTCAAGAAAAATTAAATTAATTAATTAATTAATAATAATAACGGAGAGGGTTTGGAAAGGAATAAGGGGCAGAGGAAATACAATTGGGATTATGTCAATAAATGCTGAAGCTGGGAGACAGTACACAGTAAGTCATTCTTTTTTTTTTTTTTTTGGTACCGGGGATCGAACTTGGGACCTTGCACTTCCAAGGCAGGCGTGGGAGCCACTGAGCTAAATCCCCACCTAATGTTATTCTAATCTCTCTGCTATTCAATATGTTTGAAAATTTCCAAAATAAAAGTTAAAATACATCATAAGAATCTCTACATTGGGCCAGGGATTTAGCTCAAGATTGGATAGCCGTTTTCTAAAACGGGGTGAGTACCAATCAACCCTACAGAGGATTAATTGGAGTCATTTGTAGAAAAATAGACATACCTGGAGACCATCATACTAAGTGAAGTAAATCACATACAGAAGGTTAAAAATCACATACTGTATCTTACATTAAAAGCCCAAAATATAAATAATTTAAAAGGTAAAATGAAAGAGAGATGATAGGAAACAGGGAGGTAGAGTTCATGGGGCTGGGAGGGAGATCCAGGGATGGAGGGAGTCAGGAGGGTGAGGGGAGAATGTGGAAGTGAAAATGATTAAGATGCGATGTGTACATGTACCAGTTCCCCAAGATAAATGTACTTGTTATATATAACGGACATATATTGATGAAAAAAGCAAATTAAAAATAAATCAATTAAATAGGATGGGGGATATAGTAGGAAGGCTGGAGTTGGTTTTAGATATATTTGTGGTGTCTATTAGACGTCCAGGTACAGTGTTACATGGGCAATTTAAATACATGCTCATTTCCTTTTGTTGTGAAAGGACTGTCTACTTACATCTTTTCCAATAAGATCTCTCTGGTTCTCAATGACACCCCAAGGAGGGATTCCAACTGTGCAGATTTTTCTCAAAGACTTAGAGGAATGGGTTTTCAGGGCATCCCCAACATGCTTGGAAACTCCTATGAACAACCAGTGCAAGAAGTCAAATTTTAACTCACATCAATCACGGAAAACTGTGATTCAGAAAGAAACTCATAGACAAGTATATGCAAAAGGTCATTCTTAAGGAATGTTGCTGGCACAGTGGAATTACTTTCTGATACCTTGGCCTCCTGTATTCTCTCATGACACCTCTTTCTCTTATCAGTGACCTCTGAACCCAAATAATGCCAGTCTTACTCTGGACAAGCTCAGTTCTGAACCTGTTCTTTGCCAGAATGTTCTACATATTATCCTTCCTCAGCAAGCCCAGCCCTGGCATCAGGAATGTTCTAAGTATTTTGATCTCTAATCTCCAATGTCCCAGTAAAACATCCTTCCTTGATTGATTAAAGCAAACTAATAACATAACTCTACATACAATAACTCCAGTATTCCGGAGTTAATCTACTAAAGAGTAATGCATCATTGCTTGGCCTTCTGGAATTAATAATAATAACAAGAATTATGGTAGCCGCCACTTACTGGCACATTGTAAGATTTCAGTAAGTGTTGGCTATCTTTATGTGTATTTATACTTTAAGCAGGAACATTTTTTGCTCATTCTTATAGACAAAAATGGTGACACAAAGAAGCCAAACACTTGCCCAAGGTTATAGCTGGTTATTTGTAGAAATTAAGATTACAATCTAGGTAATCCAACATTTTTTAAAATATACTATTTTTAGAGCAGTTTTAGGTTGCACAGAAGATGCAGAGAATTCTCAGTACACTCCACACAAAAACAGCCCACCTGCCAGCACCATCTCCCCCCAGAATGATTCCTTTCGTTATAATCAATGCATCCATATTAACACACCACTGGCACTCTGAGACTTCAGTCTGTATTAGGGTTCACTCTCAGTTTATGTGTTCTATGTTCTGACAAATGTATAGTGAGTGACATGTGTCCACCATTGTCTCATCGCACCCAACTCTCTTCGCTTCCCTTCAGACTCCTCTAGACACTGCCTACTCATCCCTGTTAATCCCTGGCAACCACTAATCTCTCCACTGTTTCCATAGCTGTCTTTCCCAGATTGTCATATAGTTGGGGTCATACAGTACATAGCCTTTTGACTTTGACTTAATCTGACCTTTAGTTCCAACACTGCAATAAAGACGTATTTTTCCTATGCCTAGTAATGACTGTATAGGTGTCATTAGCACAGAAAAAATGACGCTGCCATGGTTTGAATGGGTCCCCTTCAAAATCCACACATGAGGTATCTAATCCCCAGCACAGTAGGGTTTGGAGGTGGGGCCTTCTGTGAGGTCATGAGTGTGTGATCCTCATAAATGGACTGATGCTTCTATCAAAGGAGCTTCTGAGAGTGCGTTTGCTCTCTCTTGCTTTCCAATATTTACCATGTGGTGACACAGCCAGAAAGCACACTCAGATATAGGTGCCTTGATCTTGGGCTTCCCAGTCTCGAAAGTTCTGAGAGAGTAAATTTCTGTTCTTTAGCAATTACCAGTCTCAGGTATTCTGTTATAGTAGCACAAACATAGTAAGACACGTGCATATATCTGATGCAGAGCACCTGAATCACATCCTTATGTCTGGCACCTTCTCCCCCAGTTCATTGTCTAAGTTTTTCTCAGAGGCATCTCTAGAATCTGGGTTATAACCACAGGAGCAGATCAATACCAACTGTGGAGTCATCCACTTAAATAAAGATTATAATTCCCGAGGTTTTAAAACCAGGTTAAGGCCTAGTTTACCAGCCTCTTTACTGTTACTGATGCTGCTGTCATTGCTGTTCTAACTGGTCCTCCTGTGATCTTAATACAAATTCCCTGTTGAGTATCTGCCAAACTCAGTCTGACCACATCACTCCCCTATTCTACTCTGTATTCAAAATCCCTTGAGAGCCTCCTGCCACACAGAGAATAATGCCAGCTCATCAGCATGTTGGGCTGGCCCCTGGGTCCCTTACTGTCCCCATACCTGACACATGGCAACACTATCACCAATGTGCTTATCACTCTTTCTACACTTCCTTAATCTCCAGATGAGTGTCTAACAATAAGCTGCTCCCTCCATGTTGCTCAGGACCAATGCCAGCTGCTATATCCTTCACTCGGCCTTCAAGGTGCCCCAAGTTCAAACTATAATTTGTCTCCCTTTCCCTTGTACTCCCCAAACACCTTATATCTCGAACATAACCTAGTTAGCATCAATTTTTGTTCTGTCCATTTGTCCCAGCCCACTCCTGTCCCTTCCCTAGGGACAGAAATGATGTTACTCATCCTTTCTCCAAGCCCCTATTCAAATGCTTCATACAAGGCAGATTGTGAAGGCCACTGGCATTTGATTTAATTGGCATGCCCAATTATGTTCAATTATAGTTCAGAAGCATCTGGAAAGTAGGGAGGAGTTCATAAGTGAAGCCTTTCAAATTTAAATATACCTAAGAACCATCTAAGGCTGCTGTTACAATGCAAGTTCTGATTCTTTAGGTCTGGGTTGGAGCTGAGATCCACTGTGGCTGCTACTGGTTCAGAGTCTTCTCAAATTGTCAGGCTCTGGAAGAGCTGTGATTGAATTAGTCAAACCAACTGCAGATTAGGGAAGCTCCAAGTGCTCCTCATTTACTATTTATTTTATTCACATGAACAACTTTAATCATCTGCACACTACTGTATATGTTTTCCTTTAAGTTAGCTGGTCCTAGTTGACAGTTTCTTTTTTTTTTTAAAGCATTAAGTAAAATAAAGCATGCAATGTAGTTAGTTATTCAAAGAGAAAACTTTGTCCAAGTCTCCTTTTCTTACCTCTGCAAAACTTCCCCACTTCATCCTCTTTTTTACTGGAAATAAAATAAGTATTATACAATAGACTGAGGATTCTGCTGATTCAGTTTACTCCATGAATGTGAAACAGTCAGTTTCTGAAAAATGTACAAGATGAACTACATCCATTGGTTTTATTTTGATTCGTTTTGGGTTTTTGTGGGTTTTTATTTTGTTTTTGCTGTTCATCTGTAATTTCTTCATTTCTTCTCAGCCAAAAGAAGTCACTGAATGGGTATATGTTGCCAAGTCTTAGCGAATGTCTAGGCCTGCCTCTGGTCCACTACCAGATAAGAGACCTGATGTATGAACTCTTCTAACATGGAAGGCAAATACACATGACAAGAGCTCCAGGCAGCCACTGCTGTAGAAATTAGACAAAAGTGTATAGCTCTAGTTGAAATAAAAGAGGCTGCTCCATGGGTGTATTGACATCTAGTGTTGATCCTCATGGATGGGTAGAATTCAATCGGAGACATTGGCTAGGGCATCCCATACCCAAAAAGGAAAAGGCGAACAGGAAACGGAAACCCACAGGTTAGTAAACAACTGGACAGAGAAGAGAGTATGTGGAGTCCCTTGTTCTCAGACCTGACTGCACTCCACACACATTTCAGAAGCTATACCCTGAAAGCCTCAAATTCACCTAGGGAAGAGTGCATGCAATTGACTTTTTTTTAAGCCCCTCAAGTGATTCTCATGTATAAATAGTTCATAAACTGATGCAAAGGAGCATTATTCTTGAATGTCACATTTCAAGGACTATAAAAGAGTCAGTGACAGAGACAGTGAGTGTATGGATAATCACGTTCTTAACAAAAGTAGTAATTGTCTACTCATGCCTGATGCATCAATGCAACTTCTTGCATGTCATTCATTCCCAACATCTGAGAGGCTGACAATGGCCGCACGAGTTTACATCATGTCCAGATCCACACGCACTGCACGCTTACATGGGTCTGAGATCACTGTAACCTCCCAATAGTCCTGACAAAAGATCATTTCTGAGAGGGTCTAATTTCATCACAAGAGCCAGATGATGGAAGGAGAAAAAGATAAGAGAAATTAATCAGGTAACAGCTAAAGACTGAAACCAACAAAAACCTGTTGCACACTCTTTAATCTATGTCAATTCAAGACCCCAGGTGACTGGCCAAGTACCAGTGTGTTGTCCCCAGCCAATCCAGAAGCAACAGGTACTGACTGCCATGGACCGTTCTCGCCATACTTCAGGTTACTCGCACCTCTTATCTGCAGCTGATGTAAGCTCAATGAGTAATTTGCTTTCTTTTCCCAAAGTTTCATTATAAGATTGCCCTTGCCTCTTAGCAACTGCTAACATTTCCAACTGCTCCCTAGTCCTGCTGCTAGTAGTTATAGAACTTGATGAGGGACCAAGTCCTTTTCTGGCGGACATCTGCGATGGCGCAATAAACCCTTCCATTTCAGAGATCATTTGCTCTCAAGAGTTTTGGTTGAATAGACTAAAGCTCAGGAAAGACTGTTTTCTGTGCCAGAAGTTTACTAGAAGTTAGGTTAAAATAATATATTTTGACAATGATGAAAACACATTCCAGGAAAGCCCTGTGATTCTTCTTAGATTCTTAGACTTAGAGTCTAGTCACTAAGTCACTATTTTTGTCTTTCTTTCTGACACCATCATATTTTCTGGGAGTGTGGCAGAGGAGGGGTTTGATGCCAGTCTTCCTAGCTCACAGAAGGGAGACAGAAGGCAAAAAGGAAGGTAGGAAAGAGGAAAGGAGCAAGGGGGACAGATGGGGAGGGAGAGAGGGAAGTGATGGACAGACAGGTGCTTTACCCGTGTTGATGCCTGCCGTTATTATCCACGCTCCCGTTGTCTCTGCAGCTTTGACCAAACCCTGGCTGAAGATCTCTTTAAGCTTGGAGGACATCTTAAAGTTCTGGACACCTCCATGGACGGATATCACCAGCTTGGGCAGCTCCATCTTCCACTCTTCCAACATCAAACGAAACAGATGGTTCACCCTGGTGTCATAAGAAGTCCGAATGTACTGGAAAACAGGTACATGAAAAGAGAACTGTGAAAACCGCATGTCAGGTATAGAAACAATGAGCCATAGAAGGCACCTAAAATGGCTAAGATCTGAAAGGAGGTGTTAGGCATCTCTCTAAAAGTTCATCTTCACACACAGAAATATTTGCTTTTCAAAGATCCCACACTGCCTTGAAATTCCTCCTGGTAATTGTAAGTCACTGGAGGAAAGTTTTCTCCAGCTGGAGGCTTTGGCACCCAGTGTCCCGCAGAAGGCCTGAGGTGATGCAGAAATACTTCAAACAGCTGGCCAAAAGCACTGCATCAGCAAACTGGTTAAGCAAAAGCCAAGAAATGTGATTTGTCATAAATGCTACGGCTCTTAGTTTACTTCATCGTTTCACATTTTGCATAATTACATTTAATTTATTTTAGATTTTACCTTCTAACCACTTCCTTTATATACTATTACTCTCTGAAATCATTTCCTTTTCCAAAATAAACACTTTTCAGCCAGATGTGGTGGCACACACGTGTAAGCCCAGCACTGGGAGGATTGCCACAAGTTCAAGGCCAGCCTGAACTACATAGTGAGACCCTGTCTCAAAAAAAAAACAAAAACAAACTTTTCAAAGAACAATGATGTCTCAATATTCAATGCAAGCAAAAGAGAAGACGAAGGAATGGAGGTTGAAAATGACCAAAGTACATTACATGCATTATGAATCTGCCAAAATGAAAGCCATTAGTCTGTATAACCAATGTGAAACAGACAACAACCGAGATGAGGGAAATCTAAACCAGCAAGTAGTGCTCCAATCATGTTGCATTTTGCCTAGGATTATATAGTATGACTGGCTTCCTCTTTCCAGCAAATGCAGCCACACAAGCCATTTAAATCCTGTAATACTGAGAAGAGTTCACTTCCACAAGCATACTCCTACCAGGCAAGAATAAGCAAAACTCAGAGAAAGAAAGAAGGAAATTACAAAGCGGCGAATTACAAACGGTGCCAAACCTTAACACAGACAATAATCTCCAGGCCTGAAGCAGAAATTATCACACCATCCTCCACATGACAGCAGTTTACAAAAACCTTCCACTTGTTGCCCAGCTTCTTAAGACATCCCTTACTTCATAATGAAAATATTAGAACTTTGAACATCATCAGGAAGGTGCAGCTATCATGAAATGAGAGTGTCAGAAAGTACCTAAAGATGATCATTATTCAGTTACATGTGTGGACGCTCAGCTGCCGTGGCTTTCTTGCATATTGAAATAGCAGGAAAAAGTACAAGTGGACCCTTGTATTTATTCCCAGTCGTGAAGTGGGCAAAGAAATCTGCTCTGGAGTAGTTCACTTCATCTCTACTCCAGCTCTTCCTCTCTCAGGGGATCGTCTCCTTCAACTGTGAGTCCCGTCAGTCCTAAAAGATACTGCTCCTTGAGATTTGGGGATAAACAGTCTGAGGAACTAACTAAATTATTAGCGCTAGTCTTTCTCCCAAAGGCAAGCTGAAGATTACTCTAAGGTTAATGACTCACTTACCCGCCCCCCCCCCCCGCCCTGTCTACCTCCTATATAATTAATTCCCTCAGGCAGAATCCAACAGACAGGGATTAACAGGAGAACTTGGGTGGAATGAGGTGGGAGGGAGTCTGGGAAGGGAATGTAGCCCAGGGAAATGAATACTAAGCTTTCTTAACCTGTTCTGCTGAGCACTGAAACTTCAAGTGAGATCTGGGCTCTGAGTGACGTCTTCTCTTCCAAGATGTCCAGTCAAACCCACTGAGGCACCGAGGGCTGAACGCTGGGCACGGACCCCCTAATGGTCAGCTCTGTTTGGTCACACAGTATTTGGCCTCCTGTATGGTATCCCTTGACCTTTGCACAACCTACTCACTGCCCTCCCCTTTCAGGTCTCAGCCTAGTTGTCCCTACTACCCAATGGCCTGCTTGTCACACAGGGCATCGTCTCCCCAAAATAGAAATTTCATTCTCTCCAAGAACCTCTCACCTGTTTTCATAGCTTCCTTCCCTCTGCGACAACTGTTGTCATTTCCTATTTCCTTCACTAGACAGTAAGCAATGACACAGAAAGTATAGGCACCCAATAAATACTTCCTTGGTGGACGAAAATGGTGTGAATGAGTATGATTAAGAATAAAAGCAAGAAGAGCCAAACTCAAAGGAAAAAGTACATGCAGGGTTCTTTAAGGATCAGCTTCTCCAAGGAGTAAAAAGGGCAATTTTTCTGCCAACCAAAGAAAACATCAATACACAAAGTTGAATGGAAGAGGACTAATGACTAAAAATGTAGATTACTGTAGAACTGCATTATGACAGTATTAGGACTGCACTAGGAGAAACTTATTTCAAATCCAGTGACGATACTCACACTCCAGGTCCATCTGATTTGGAGCTTTCCTGAGGTGGGATCCATCTGCTCTAATAAGTAGCAGGCATTTAACATTCACAAAGAACACCGCGGAGGGGTGGCTGACCTTTCAATACTAATGTGCTACAGATTACCAGGAGCATCCCAAAGGCCTGGGTGTCAAAGGTTTAGCTGCTAGCATGTGGCACTAGCAGGAGGTGGTGGAGCCTTCAGAGGATGGGGCCAATGGAAGAAAGCTGGGTCACTGAGGTGTGTCCCTGATGTAGATATTGAGACCCTGGCCCTCCTGGCTCTCTTTTTGCTTCTCTGCAACCATGAAGTGAACAGATCTCCTCTACCACACATTCCTGCCATAATGTACTGTGCCACAACGGGGCGAAAAGCAACAAGGCAAGTGACCACAGACTAACACCTCTGAAACCACAAGCCAAAATAACCTTTCCTCTTTTTTTCCCTCTTTTTAAAGGGAGTAGTTTGGGTATTTTGTCACGGTGACAGAGAGAGGACTAAAGCACTATGCAAATCATGAGCAAAATTACCCTATGAGAAACAGGAGGAAAACTAGCTGGGAAAGCCCAAGTATTAGCATTCAGAGGGTATATCACAAAATGTGAGAGGTCCTCACAAGAACTTAGGAGAGATAAACGGTGAAAAGTTATTGGGTTAGTCTCCAGCTAAAGCCCACACTATAGTTTGGCCCTTAAATATCCCCAAAAGGCCCATGTGTTAAAACCTTGGTCCCCATCCCATGGCACTATTGGGAGGTTTTTGGTCACCAGGAGTGTGCCCTTGGAAGAGATGATGGGATGCCAGTCTCTTCTCTTTCACTCCTGGCTGTGAAGTGAATAGTTTGCTGCTCTGTGTGCTCCATGCCATAGTGTGCTGCTTTCCTGTAGCCCTGAAGCAACAGGGACAAACCTGGACTGAAACCTCTAAAACCATGAGCTAAAGCAGACCTCTCCCCAGGTATCTGCTACAATACTGGCAAACTGACCAGCACAGCCTGCTCCTGAGTAGTAATTGTACTACATTCCCTAAGGAAAGGCCAGTCCTTTGGGAACTGGCTCATCAACCATTCTCTTCTGCAGAGGGCGTGAAAGCTTGCTAAAAGAAAGAAACCAGTCCAATAAGACCTGGGAAATGTGTGATGCCTGTCAGACGCCAAGGTAAGAGAGGATCAGGCCAATTCTGACAAGGAGATCAGTCATGTGGATCTTTTCTGCAATGAAGCAAGGTCATCTGGTTGTCTACACTTGGAGGTTTACTTGCAGGCTATCTTCTATGCAAAACCAGCAAAACAATGTGGATTATTAGCAAACCTTGGAGTGGTAGATGTGTTCTCCATCTTGGAAATTAATAGTGCCAAAGGTATCTGTAGGGCTTTTCACTGTGTGCTTTTCAACAGACCATTGCTCATTTTCATTTTCCTTGGCAGTTGAGAGGGACCAGGCATAATCTATTCCATGGTGGTCATGAACCAATCGGCCACAGTAGCACCTGAATTCAGGAAAACAAACTTCAGAATAGAAAGAGACACAATGTTTCTACATTTTCCTGGAATAATGTATCGATGCCATATTCTTAAAATTTCACATTGGCCAAGGGTGGTGGTATATAACACACTTATTCCCAGCTACTTGGGAAATTGGGGAAGGAAGATCACAGGTTCGAGGCCAGCCTGGGCAAATAAACAAGACCCTGTCTCAAAATAAAAAATAAAAGGCTTAGGAATATAGTTAATTGGTAGAGCATTCCCTCCCATGCATTGAGGCCCTGGGTTCAATTCCAGCAATAAAAGAGAAAATTTCACCATAAGATTTATGTTAGATTGAATACTGGATTATTTTCTAAATATAGAAGTGCCCTAATTATTTTTTCCCTTGGGTGGACAGAATAGTTATTTGGTGAATGTTTAAAAAAAATAATAAAAGTCAACTGTACATGCATGTTCATAGAAGCATTATTCACAATTGCCATGGGGTGAAAGAAACTCAATTATCCACCTATGGTTCTTGGATAAATAAAATGTGGTCTCTACGTATAATGGAATATGATTTAGCTTTACAAAGGAAGGAAATTCTGACATGTTACAACACAGATTAACCTTGAGCACATTACACTGAGTGCAATAGGCCAGTCATAAAAAAAGCAAATATGGTATGATTTCACTTGTATGAGGTACCTAAAGGAGTCAGATTACTAGAGACTGAAAATATAATGGTGATTGTCAGGATTTTGAAGGGTCATTTAATTTTTTTTTCTTTTTTCAGGGGGGCGGGTACTGGAGATCGAACTTGGGACCTTGCGCTTGCAAGGCAAGAAGCAGAACCACTGAGCTAAATCCCCAGCCCTTTTTTTTTTTTTTTCCTATTTGATTCAGGGTCTCACTATGCACTTCAGGCTGGTCTTAAACTCACAGTGATCCTCCTGCCTCAGCCTCCAGAGTGATGGGATTATAGAAATGTGCCACCATACCCAGCTAGGAGTCATTTAATTAATGCAGAGTTTCAGTTTTTCAAGATGAAAAAGTTCCAGAGATTCACTGCATAACATTATGAAAGTTCTAAACCCTACTGTATGCTACATTTTAGAATAGAAAGAGGGTTAAAAAATCACATTATATAAATATGTGCAACTTATTAGAGGCCTAGAATACCAATACAGCTGTTTGTAGAAATCTAAAAAATATCTGATATGCCCTACTTAAGGACAGTAACACGATGTCTTCATATAAAACACATTATTCATATCAAAGTGAAAGGATATTAATCAATCCAAAATAAGATGTAGCATTCAAGATCTATGCAAATAAAAACATTATTAGAAAAAAGTCATGAAAGAGACCTAACTATAAACATAAATAATAAATTAATATATAATACAATTGTAAAGGAGGGGAGTTAAACATATTTTTGCTATTAGCAATTTTTAAAGATACTTAACAATAAAGAGCCATAATTTCTACAATGTAACAAAATTAACTAAAAAAATTACCAGATTAATCTTTTATAAAACTAAGCTTATAAAAACCAGCAGAAAACATAGTAATTATCATTTGTGAAAGAATAATGGACTTCTCATGTTTTATAAATCAGAATAAATCTCAAGGAAAAATAAAAATTTGAATACATTAAACTTTGTAAGTTTCCACAATGAAAAATCATATCTCTACAAACCTACCACAAAAAAAAAACTATTCAGGTAAATCTTTCATGAAATGATTCTATCCTGATACAATTCAGGCCAGAAGAAAAACAAATAATAAATAATTCCATACAAAAAGCTTTCCTTTACTAGAACTGTTAATTGAGGCAATCTTGAAATTTAATAAATCTTCTTAATCTTTTCTTTTTTTTCAGTAAGGAAGATTGAGGCCAGAGCTTCCCACGGAGTTATGACCCTGGCCTTTTTTTTTTTCTTTTGAGACAGGATCTAAGTCACTTAATTGCCTAGGCTGGGCTCCAACTTGTGATCCTCCTCCCTCAGCCTCCCAAAGTACTAGGATTACAGGCACGCACCACCCTGCTCAATTCACATCTTAATCTCACTGAATTTAGCCAAATAATTTGAAAGTATCAAAGGTTGGTAAAATGAAAATGAGCCAGGCATAGTGGCACACACCTATAACACAAGTACTTGGGAGGCTAAGGCAGGAGCAGTGAAAGTTCAAGGCCAGCATGGGCTACACAATTAGATCATTAAAAACAAAACAAAACAAAAAGTAAGAGTAAAACCAGAACATTGATATACCTCTGAAGACATAAAAATGTCAGTAATATATTTTAAAAGTATAATGGCAAATCAAAGCATTATACTTAAGACTTCAATGTTTCTTTCTCAATCATAGGTAAAGCAAGTAGGCGCTATCAGTAAGGCCATAAAATAAATTCCATTACATACGCCACAGCAGAACTGCACAAAGGGAAGAACACATAAAAGACCACTGAAGTTAGGCAAAAAAAATATTAAAACTCCCATTACGTCACTATGCTTAAATGTGAGCAAAATATGAAACTTTCACTAATAGAAATTGAATCAAGCATCCTCACTTTGGGAAGAAAAGGTTAACTATATTGTGTTCCTGAATTCAAGTCCACTCATCTAACATGACTTATATGTGACTATTAATCAGACTTAGGGATTAGATTTCACCTGTTTCAACCAAAACAGTCCTCACAAGTGGACCAGAAACTGGGGAAAAAAATGAAACAGCAACACAAATACTAAAAATATAAGCACAGGAATGTAAGAAAACAACAGAACCAATACTTCTTGCTTCTCAGATAAACTCTGTAAGTCACAGAATGAAGTGAAAACCATAAATATGTAACTAGGTTTTACATCTCCTTTTTTAGTTTGCTTTTGTTTTTGTTGTTTTGTTTTACTGAGATGGGGTCTCACTATGTTTCTCAGTTGGCCTCTTGAGCTCAAACAAACCTCCTGCTTCAGCCTCCTGGTAGCTGAGTCTACAGACACAAATCACCACATTTAACTCTATCTCCTTTTAAATAATAGTATATTGTGGAGGAACAAACAGCATTTGCTTTTACTAAATAAAATATTCTAATATCATCCATTGATCTATTCCTTTAATAGCTCTTTATTTTATTTCTATATTTCATATAATAGTACATTTATATAATTTTTCAGCAAGCATACATATAATACACATAATGGGATATATATCCCAAAAAGTTTAATGATATGGTACACAGTAAAATGTGGGAAGTTGGCAGGCATGATGATGGCACATGCCTGTAATACAGCACTCCGGGAGGCTGAGGCAGGAGGATCTCAAATTCAAGCCCAGCCTGGGTAATTTAGCAGCTTAACAAGACCCTGTCTCAAAATAAAAAGTGAAAAAGGGGTGGAGCTCCAGCTCAATGTGAAGGCCTTGGGTTCAATCCCCAGTATGGCCCAAAAAATGACAGTAGACCACTTCACCATAGCAAAACTCCTTTGAGCATGCACCCCAACACATACTTTTTTTTTTGAGACAGGGTGACATAATGTAGCCCAGGTAGCCCAGAAGATATTCATCTCTAAATGATATATTTCTGTCAATCCACATTTAAATACTAGTCAAGGTATGTTTCAATTATGAATTGTGATTAAAAAAAATATAGTGAATGTTTAAATTTTTTCAATGTATTAATCTCTCTCAAAATATTGCCCTTTTCTTCAAACACACTTATCCTGGTGTTCTCTTTTTTTACTGGTATATACTTCCAATACATAATAATTACATTCATCTTGGGAAACTGAGGCACATACATATCACATCTTAATCATTCCACTTTCCTTGTCCTTGCCACTTTCTGAAGCAGCTTTGGGAGACCTCTTTCAAGACTGTCTTTATGAGTTGTGATCAAAATTCAGTGAGTGCCATCCAATGGACATCACAGCGTGTCCTCAACCACCTTATTCCTCAGAGGTGGCACTGTGTGACCTCCGGCATGTTCCAAAGTCAAAATGGCCATGAAAGGTAAACATTTTGAATATTTCAGGATATCAAGGCAACCACGACAGTGCAACTGAAGATGCAAAAGGATTAGCAGAACTGCTCCAGAAATTGTGGAGGACCATGGATTAGGTGTGTTCAAAGCAAGGGGGAGAATTCTGAGGGGATTAATGGCACTGTGTCTTTTACTGTAATGAATGTGTTTAATTTAAACATTCACTATATGTTTCAGTCACATCTCATAGATGGTCCACATGGTTCATTGGTGTTTTGTTCATAATTGCAAAAGACTGCAAATAACTAAATAACCTAAAGGTCCATAGATAAAGGACCAAAGACATCATTGATGACACACCTATGTTCTGTAACAAACCAAGGAAAGCTCTCTGTCCTGTTACAGAGGGAGCTTCTGTGTACATGAGTAAATGAGAACAATGAAATTCATCATGGCACACGTGGTGTATTCTCTGCTATGGCCTCAATGTCTATGGAAAACAAATGGCCAGAGAAAAATTAAAATATGTATTTCATTTTGTTCCATGTGAATTAAAAACCCTGAAAGGAACCCCAGAACTCTAGTACTAGTGGAGACCATGAATCAGAGAAGGGGAATCGGCCTCCTCCCGCAAGCAAGAGTGGCTGGGAGGATTTCCCCTGTGACATTTTTCACCTCACATCTTTTGATACTTATATTCTAAACCATGTGAAATTTTAAAATATATTAGTAAGTTTTAATTTAAAAAAATAGAAATGTAAATTCTAATTTTTCTTCAAGAAATTCTAAAGAACTGTTTTAAACCTAGAGTTCATTCGCCCAAATGTACTGACAAACGTTCTAGAGGATATACTGATCTCAAATTCTGAGATCTTGTGTGTAGCTCATGAAAAGGTTGTAAAAGACAACTGAAATTAGTGCAAGAAGACAAAATAAACCTGTAATTATTGAGACCAAGCCATCTGGAAGGTGTTTCATAAACGTGGAGCTGAAGACATCAATGTTCTTGGGTGAATCTATAAAGTACCACTATGTTTCCCAAATCCAGGATAATTTACTAGTGTCCTAAGTACAATGATCATAACCACTGATAACTAAACAGTTCTTTAGAGTTTGCATTGTTTAACAAACACTCTGAAACCTTTGCATGTTTTCTTTTCCCCATGGTTCTCAAAACTGAGAATTCTAATTTTTTCTCAAAAATAAATTTAACATTGGTTCAATTCATAATATAAACTTTAGGATATGATTAGAATTAAGGAACTTTTATTTCCTTCCACTGACAAAAAAGAAAGGCAAAACCAATTACTAATACACAATTTAAAACAAACATCACAGTTAAAATTTGTTTTGTACTGACATACAACACAAATATTTTTGCAAATAAGTTTGCTATGTACACACAATACTTGCACTTCATTTTTGAACCATGTGAAATTTAAAAATATATTAATAAGTTTTAATTATTTTTAGATAACTAAAATGTCATAGACCAAATATCATACATATACAGAAGCAGCCTCCTTTTCTCTAAATACAGTGTGAGAAAATGAAATGAACAGTAAAATGAAAATCTAATGCTTTGCAAGTGTTTCCATGTGTTGAAGCTCTTGCCAAAGGCCCTTACCACTTACAACTTCAGTAACTCAAGTATCCAATTACATTCAATCATTTCCTCAAAAATAATCTCTTTTGTAAAACTTCCTGGGATGAGGAACAGCATCTGCCTTACAGTGAGTCCACTCCAGGTATAAAGACACCATCCCAATGAATTTTAAACAGCGCCATCAACTTAGAAAGTAAAAAAGAGGTTTATTTAAATCTCACCTGATTAAATTCTGGCAGACTTGGCAGCCTGGAGCACATCTAAATTAAAGAAACAAGGTGTCCTTTAGTTTACTGATATATTTGAGAATATAATTAATGCTTATGTGGTAAATTATCTTCAATGATCTGGAAATCAGGATTTGCTGATTATTCACATAAAATATTTTCTTTATGTCATTTACTACACGTAATTATACTGCAGCAGCTATGATGTAATTAATAAAACATGAAGTCTGAAGCCAGGATAGCTGGATTTTTTTTTTTTTGATTTTTAATCTCATTGATTCAGCAATTCCTCAAAGCACCAGTGTTCACATCTGGAAATAATATCTGCCCACAAAGTAAATAAAAGGTTATCTGGGCTAGGTGTGGTGGTGCCATAAAGCACTATCAAATCAAACGCTATTGTCGATCTACTCCTATCAAATACCAGTTTCATATGTGTTGCACTTTTCTAGACAGGAGCAGGTTGTGACCCACACCAGAGCACGTGCTTAGCATGCTGACACCTTGGGGCAGATCGCCAGCAACCCTCCTCCCAAAAAGGGTTAAAAATTGTTTAACCTTTTTGACCACTTTTATACATTCATATGAATTTTTGTCAAGTTCTCCCCCCAAAACACTTCTAGGACTTTGATGAGCATATTATTGAATTTATAAAACAAGATGGGGGAGAGTTGGTATGATTATAATTATTATGCTTATCGACCATTCTTTTCATGATTTAGAAGAAACTTTTGGATTTGGAGGTTAGCACCTCCAAATGTCATCAGTGATCATATATTTAGTATGAAAAATGGAAAACTCTTGTTAAAATAATGGGGGGGAAATGTAATGTTCATAGAATAGGGGTCAGTGAGTTATTCGGAAACTGGAACTTGGGCTTTTCACTTTGTCCTGCCACAGGCTTTGAGGCTTTTTTCTTAAAATCTTCATGGTCAGGGATTTAGCTCAGTGGTGCCCTGCCTGCCTCAAAATTGCAAGGTCCTGAGCTCAATCCCTGGTACTGCAAAAAAAAAAAAAGCTTTATGTCCACAAGCAGACAATAACAAAAGAAAAGATGTCATAGTCAAGTCTGTCAGATTGTTTCTTATTAGGAGTTTAAAAGAAAATCAATAATGAAAATAAAATTTTATTGAAATTTCAGATAGTGAAACACCACCATTTTTCTGTCCACTATAAAGAAAACCACAAAAGAGCTATAATTTTGAGAATCTTACTAGGATTCAATAAAAAGAATGGCATAGGAAGAATGGCCATTGTCATCCAATAACTTTTTATAACCCGACAAAAAGAGAGACTGCTTTTTTCTCCATAAAATGTAGCAGGCTTTGGGCCATTTGTGACATTATGATCATGGATATTCCTTTTTCTTGTTGTTTTTGGTGCCGAGGATGAAACCTAGGGCCTCACACAGGCGAAGCACGTGTTCTACCAAGAGCAGCTCCCCAGCCCACGGATCTTCTTCTTTTGTTTTTTCAGTGCTGGGATTGAGCCCAGGGTATGGAATTCAAGATCACACTCATGCCAGGTGAGTACTCTACTACTGAGCTACATCCCAGCCTCCCACTGCTTTTCTCCTTGGGTTCTGATGGTCTATGGGTTAACAATAGACTTAGTAATTTCATTACTTTTCATTAGGTTCAAGGTAATTGTGGAAATGATTTTCCATTGACAGAAGCATAATGAACCCATTGGAACTCAATCTACTTTCCCCTGCAGCCACCATCTCTTATGAGATATCATAAAAGATGAAGGGAAAAACAAGGTTACCTTGGCATTCTATAAACTTCGGTACACAGGTAAAATGAGAATTTCCAATCCCAGGGCTTACACACCATAAATTCAAGGAGGGTGGGACTTGTCAATGTTTAACACAGGCAAGGAGCACTATTTAGTCATCCTCAAAGAACTCGAATTTCAAGAACCTCACCAAGCTGCCCTTCCTAAGCATATAGCTATGATTTCTAAACGTTCTAAAAATAGAGTAGCTCCCTTCATTAAAATATTGCCTTTCTATTAGCCTTTTAATCCCCCCTTCCAAGGGCAATGATATCCAAACTTAATTTCATGGAACTGATTGCCTGGGGAATTTTCCATACCCCTTTCTTCCCCTGTCTCTCCCAGCTGCCTTGTTGAACTTTGTTCTAAAAGTAGAGTTTCCAAAGTCCTGTCAAGAGCTCAGAGTAGGCAAACTCAAACCATTATCTGCTCAAGAGAAAAGCCCTGGGGAGGAAAACGGAGCTAAAATTGCGTGTTTGCATAATCTGTGCACTGCAACCTGAACTGTCCCAAACAGTCACTGTTTTCCATAGTTACTGGAGTTGGGCATAAGGAACATTCCCAATATGTGGGACATTCACATCCAGATACTATACATTGTTCATCCGGACTCGGCAGAAGAAATGCATTATTTCCCTATAGCATCTGTGCCCCATCAGGGATCATGGAGAAGAAGGGAATCTCCTACAACGTTATCATGCCTAGCTGCTTTCTTCTTCACTGATTCAGTGAACAGGTGTTTATCACAAGCCTCCTTCACGACCGGCCCTAACTGTCATAGGCACTGGGGCTGAGGTAAGTTACAACACTGACACGGCTCCTTTTCTCACCAGATTTTCTGCAATAGTCATGTTGTAGTTTTATAAAGTGAAAAAAACTCTCATTAAAATTAACAAATACTAACCTTATAGATACTATGAAATCTTCTAGACAAGTCATATTTCTAAATTCCTACAAACAGCTCTCTGAGTAGAATCACTTTTTTTAAAAAGTCGAAAGTGTTAATAAACATTTTACCTGTGAGGGTCTTTTGGACTGGGTATGACCTTGTTACATTCTCTCTTGTTGAACACTCCTTCAATCCAAGATTTCTGGGACTGGAAAGAAAGTGTCATTATGTTATAAGGGAAAAACCAATGTAACCGCAGTAGCCCAAGTAGGCCAGATATAGTTAGGTATCATGGATGCTCATTAAAATGCCAAGACCACCCCAAAACAAACTCACATGAGTGACAAGATCCCAGTTAAGATACAGCTGGTGTATTCTCTTCAGCCTACTAAATGTCACCTTTGTGTCTTGCAACATAATCTTGGTTTGTTTTTTTTTTTGGTACCAGGGATTGAACTCAGGTCCTTGCGCTTGCGCAGCAGGCGGCGAAACCACTGAGCTAAATCCCAGGCCCTCTTGCAACATAATCTTACGGCACAAATATCTGGCTCTCAAAACTCAGTCTTTCCATTCATGAAGTTTCACTTTTGCTAGGATTTCATAGGAAGCTAGGAAGAGCTTGCACATCAGAGGACAGATGCCATCTTGGCCAGAATTGATGCACAGTTTCAAGCATGACTTACCATTGGCAATGTTGCTGCATGTGGCACAGCCTGTAACTGCCCCTGAAAACCAGTAGGACACTGGGACTCACTCCTCCTCCTAATAAAATTGATCCCATTCCTCCAAACTCAAGTCATACCCAACCTCCCCCAAAAGCTGTATTAGGATCTAGAGGCACAGGCCATGGGGCCCTCCATAAAGCCCTACCAACCAATGCGCTTGGCCTTGTCCTAACAGGAAAACACTTCAACTTCTTCCCGCATGAGTGTGTGAATATATCTTTATACACAGATATGAACAAGGTGTGATGGAAAACTGCAGTGAATGTTTACATTTATTTAAGTTTATTACAGAAAAAGACATGACGTTAACCCCCTCAGAACGCTCCCCCTCACTCTGAACACACTTATCTCATCACTCGTGCCACTTTCTGAAGCAGTTCCAGAAGTCCCCTTTTAATGACCGTCTTCAGTTGCACTGTTGTGGCTGCCTCGGTGTCCCGGATTGATTTAAAGTGTGTGCTTTTCATGATCATTCTGACATTGAGGAAGAGCCAGAAGTCACATGTCAGACCTGGTGAGTCAGGTGGATGTGAACACACTGTAATGTCTTCATTACAAAGGAAATGCCCTTCCACTGGATGGCACTCGGCAGTAGCATTCAGCATATTTTTTGTAGCATTTCAAGATGCTCATGAAAGAGAACTTCCAGAACTGCTTTAGAAAGTGACAAGAATGATGGGATGAATGTGTTCAAAGTGAGGAGGAGCATTTTGAGGGAGATTAATAACAATGTGTCTTTTACTGTAATAAAATTTTTAAATTTAAACATTTGCCATATGTTTTCAGTCACGCCTTAGAGATAAAAGGGCAGTAAGCCAGATTCTCTGAGGGGATGTTTCCAAACTCCACATTGGCATGGGCCTATCTTTTCTTGTTCCCCTACTCCCATTCTACCCCTGAAGGAAATGTGATGGCCAGAAGCCAGGTGTCATTAGAGCTATGGTGTCTCATCTTCACAGTATCTTCAAGGCTCTGGGGGATTAAAAATGAGGCAACTCATGAAATCTCTTACATACTTCAGTAGATCTTATCCCATACACCCCAACCTAAATCCAAGTGTTCACTACTGATAGGACTCAGGATAATCAGAGCACAGAGCTTTATAAGCAAGAGTATAGCAGACATCCGTGCCCAGTACTAGTAGGCTATAAGTGGTACTTGCTTCTTGCTCTCCATAATTCAGGTATCTTGTTTTATATCAGGAATAAGACTGCAGCTCTACGTGACTCAAATGGGCATGTCTGATGGTGGACTGGATGAGTATAGCTCCTCCCCCAGTGGCTGCCATGGAGACCTAAGACCTGGTCTGTGAAGTAGCAGTGCTCTGCTGAGTTACGTGCAGCTGAGGTCAGAGCTATCCCAATTAAAATTTTTTCCCCTGAATTGTGGCTTCTCACTGACTCAACGGGTTGCTGGCAATTGCACCCAGGCCCAGTACCTGCTTGTTATCTCCAAGCAAGATAAGCAGTGCCTCCCTTACAGCCCTGCTTGGCACCATCAGGCCAGATGTTTGGCCCTATATCACTAGATGTCTTCAAAGCATACCCTTCTCTCTTTCTTCCCACACATGTAATCAATAAATATTGGATGTCCTTAGGGGCCTTCGTCTTTGCTGCCCAGAGCAGCATAGATCAGCCCCAAGACCCAGTTCTCGCTGTCTTGTTTTCTGTCTTTATCCTTATCCACTTATGCTGTAGTGCCTCACAGGAGACTGTAAAACAACTACAGGAGTCTATGGTAACGTCCCCATTCCAGTTCCTTATACAAGAGGACAGTAGAGATTGATCAATTGGTTCTTATGCATTTCACACATATCTACAAACAAGGAAACTTCCCAAATGAAGACCAGAGTTATCTTAAATCCTTCTACCCTCATACCTTTTACATGGGTCAGCAAGTATTTTTATGTATTACAAGGTATTCAATAAGTTGACAAAACACTAAAAACATAAACTTGGAAAAATCCAGTTGTAAAATGTACGATAAACTAATTGAATAGTAAATTCAAAACCTGTTTATGATAAGAAATGACACATACACAAAAAGGAAAAAAAAGCCCGGTATGGTGGTGCATGGCTGTAATCCCAACACTTGGGAGGCTGAGGTAGGAGGATTACTGAGAGTCTAGACCAGCCTGAACTACATACTGAGTTCAAGGACAGCCTGAACTGCATAGCATGACTCTGTCTCCAAAAAAAAAGGAGCAATGAAAGACATACTCATTCAGAATCAGTAAGACCTGTCTCCTATTCAAAAACATTAACAATTCCTAGGAAAAACAAACAAAAAATTAATGATTCCCTCAAACACATATTGAGGACATAATTTTTGCAAAGCACTGACAAAGATGCTATGAAGGAGTTGATGTACCTCAAGAAAGCTTTTGTTCTGAATTCAAAATGTTTGTTGAGTGAATAAATAGATTCAAATATTTTGAACAGGCCTCCACACTGCATGCTAGGAACTCTATGACAAACAAGACAAGGTTCTTGCCGTCAAGAAAACTTGAAGGTCGGGCCAGGAACTTAGCTCAGTGGTGCCGCCGCCTGCCTCGAAAGCACAAGGTCCTTAGTTTGATCCCCAGTGCCAAAAAAAAAGAAAGAAAAGAAAAGTTGAAGCTGACACAGTGCCACAGGCCTATAATCCCAGTTCTCTGGGAGGCTGAGGCAGGCGCTTTACAAGTTCAAGTACTGCTTAGGCAACTTAGCAACATAGAGACTGTCTGAAAATTAAAAATAAAAAGGGGCTAGGGATGTAGCTCAGTGCAAAGGCCCTAGGTTCAATTTGCAATACAGTTAGAAAAAAAAATGGGCATGAATTTCTGCCTACTGCTGCTGGGACATTAATTCTTTAGAGCCTTGAACTTCCATGTAAGAATTTGACTAGAAAAATAAGATTTACGTGACTAAAATAAAAAGGAGAAAACAGACAAGAAATTGGTATTATTACAATTCACGTCCACAATTAGCTACAAGCCCGGGAAAATGGTGTGAGCCGGTACTCAGGAGGCTGAAGCAGGAGTATGGCTTGAGCCTAGGAGCTGGAGATCAGCCTGGGCAACATAGTGAGATCCTGTCTCAAAATCAAACAAACACATCAATAAAGCAGCAAAAGCATCCCTAATATAGGAGTCAGTATATACAAATTAAGCAAGTGGCGCTCAGCTGTTCCCTTCTTTTAAATGATTGGATAGCTGCTCTTTGTAGGGTTTTCCAGACAAATCACTTGGTGGATGTCTTCATGGCTGCTCTCTCCTCTATACAAATGGAGAAAAACACCACCTCAGCTGGGGGTATACATGCATTTATCACATGAAGACTTGGGTTCAGTCCCCAATACCAAAAGAAAATAAGAGCAATAATAATGGTCTCTCATAGAGCCCCTGAAGGATCATGTAAGTTAAAGGCTTAGCATTCCCCCTGGGGCTTTGTATACCTCAGTAAAGTTTAGCTATTATGAGTGGCTGTATCAGAAGTAAGTTAGTTTTTGGCTAGTGAGAACTTTGATACACTTTTTCCATAGAAAAATACCTGCTGGCTCCCAAATCTCCCTCACAAGCCCTCTCATGATAGAGTGTAGCAAACCTCTGGGGCTATAAGTATCCTCCCTAAACTCTAGCTCCCCCGTACCAGGTGCCAGTCATTCCTACTGACCCAGGCCCGGCCCAATCCCAAGACTGATGAAAGAAAAACAAAATGAACACACTTAAAACAGAACTTCAAGCTCTCTAGTGTGGAATTTTCCCTCCAAAGGAGTTAACAGGAAGCCTAACAAGAACAGAAAGGCTCTCCTTCTACAACTGCCCCTCTCAGCTCAACACCACCGAAAGAGAAAACCAGCCCTAAGCTGCAAGCGTTCCAAGCAATTCCCTTTTCCTCCCACCTCAGTGGTCAGTGTACTCGAGACCTACATGGGAGAGGCCCCATGGTCAGACACAACAGCCCACAGCCACATGGGACAAACCCACGGCACCACCTTCTCCCAGTACATTGTTGACCCAGGAGTAGTTGTCGGTGGGGAGGATGCCCCCTCTGAACCCACTGTGCCAGTCTCTGTGGACTGGATGCTTTCATTGTCACTTGGGGGAGAGAAAGATAGAAGAGAAATAATGTCCACTAGGTTTGCTTCACCTTAAAACATAATCAGATTTTTACGTCCAATCCTGGGCCTCAGGTGAAGGTAGGGCATTGCAGAGAAGTGTCCAAGTGTAGCTACACATAAACTAGTCCTTTTCATGACCAGAGGTATTTTCCCCTTTGTGGCCTTGGGGAGAGTTTCATACATGCGAGGCAAGTGCTCTGCTACACCCCAGCAGGCCCTGACTACCAGTATAGCTACTCTAGGGTTAAAGGTCACAGATTCTTTCAGGAAAATCTCTCGGCAGGCACCATCTTAGAGGTGTTCCTTAATATTCAAAAACCGATTATTTAACATCCCCAGGGCTGAGTGACAGAGGGTAAAAGGGGTCAAAGGTAACAAGTTG